TTGAAAGTATAAAACGACCTTTAAAGCGGTACGATTTTCCGGAAAAAAATTGTCGACAAAAAAATCCCGTGCATGTAAATGAACTATAAACGTTAATTTTAATTATCCTATAAGTTGATAATTATTTTGCAAATATATCAACAATCGGTCTTATCTCACTGCTTCTATGAATTGTAATTTATCGACTGTCTTTGAACGTTATTTAATAATTATTTTGTTACAAAACGGTAACAGTAGAGAACAAGCAAATAGCGAACCAGTTGAAAAATATACAGCGTGTCCGAAATAATATGCTCAATTAATCAAAACAATAAATACTTTAATTTATATCTAACCGAAGACCCATTAAAAATAACTTAAATGAAAAGTACAAAGTCCAAGAACTGTTTAATATTTTTTATTCAATAATAATAATAAAATATTCAATAATAATAAGTTAATATCATCAAAATTACAATCAATTTCTTATAATAAAGAAGAAAACGCAGAATTATAGAAAAATATGCTTCTCCTGGTACAACAATACACTTACGACCACCCTGTACTCCCAAACTTTAAATACATTTCAACAACATATAGGTTCATGACGTTGCCTAACTAACCAAAAGTAAATGACGCATATTTATTTACGCCAACACCACATACTTGTCAATATTACATATTTCATAAAGGTTTCGCCAATTTTTAACACCTTGCATGTCGTTGCAGACACTTTGCAAAAATAGTTATTATAATTTGCAAATAGTCATAATTACTTTACTTTACGTAAGCATGCTAAACAAAATAGATTAAAATTATCATAATTTATTTTATTTTTAAAGCAGCACTTTCAGATTTTTAAAAGTCATTCCGCATAATTAAAGGAAAAATTGGACTAGTAAGGAAAGTTTCCTATAATGCAGAAATAAATTATGCTTACTACTCACCAGCAAATTAGACATTTTTTATTGAAGTTTTGACATTAAAATCGGAAAATCTGAAAATAAATTATAAAACAAACATTATCACTTAAAATATAGCAAAACGATGTGCCAATTGACCATTCAGGACCTGTACTATGCATATAATACTAGAATTGCGTTGTAGATATTCACTTTTGCTTCAAAAATGCAAAATTTCTGGTGGAGCGTTAATGACTATGAAAATGGGATGCTAATTAGATTTGGTTAGACTATGAATCTAGAACCAAGCGGATTATAATTTATGGTTGATTTAATTTCAATATAAAAATAAACGTAACCAATAGCTTCAAATAAGTTGACACAAATATTAAAATAAAAAATAAATAAAAAATTATGTATCCGTTATTTTAATAGAAAATCTTGTAGAAAAATGAAAAAAAAAATGGACAAAATATTGTAAAGTTCTCAAGCTCCGGTAACTAGTTGCTCATAATTTGGACTTAAAGTATAAACACATTATATCGCCCTCTCATAAAAATCAGTTTTTATGGGATCGTTTTTGTACCAGAGTTTCTGGTGGTCATAAAATTTTACCTCCTACAACATTAGAAAAGCCGTAAATGGGTAGGCACCTGAACTGAAATCGCTTTTGTTATATAGATTTTTTATATAAATAAATTGATATAAATAATCATAAGTACATGTTGACATGTATTTTCGTTTCTTTTTTTGTATTGCTATGCTTTTTAATTTATATATTGTACGGGCTTAACTGTTAACTCTTAAATGTTACTGAGTAATATTTTCCTATCATGTTAAATAAATAATAAAAAGTAAGTGTGCGTTAAGCGAGGAAGTAAAACTACATCTTTACCTTTTGCGGTATGTTCTTTTTAATTTAATTTTATAATTATTCATGCATAATTATCGGTGACAGCAAGAATTTTCGCTAACAAAACAAATGAATTTATTTTTACATTTAGTTTTAAATGTTTAATAGTAACGCGTCAAAAGTACAAAAAAGGAAGGGTTTAGCGAATGTAAGGACCAAAGTAATTGTGTGAGGATTATTATATATTTTAACCCATGGTCATGCCAAGATTAATACCAATTTCAAAAGGTAACAAACAAGCCGATATTTTACAACAGTTTGTGTTACCCCGGTACAGTATATCAAAAATAATTTCATCGTATAATGACAGAGTACACTTAGAGAAGTTGCTAAAAGGTGGAAGCTGAGAAGGAAACAACAGTAATGATGCGTCAAAAGCATTGCTCAAATTGGTCCTTAGAAATCCGCATCTAGAATTATTGTCGAATTTCCTAAAATTACGGTTAGTCTACGAACAGTACAAAGAAGGTTAGTAGATTGAGGTGTATTTAGTAGACGTCAGCTATAAAGCCCGATGACTGGATAAATGTTCTATTCAGTGATGAAACGCGCTATAAAATATCCAACTCTGATGGAACGAGACGTAACGGTGAACAATCAATATAAGGTTTGAAAACGTACCACTTACAATTAAACATGGTGAAGGTTGTATTTTTATGGGGCTGTTCCTCATGTGGATACATCACAAGCTGTGCAACATTGATTTGCCAGCACAATCTCCAAATGTTCCCAAATAAACAATCCTTGATAAATAAAATTAGTCAAATTTGGACAAGTACTCCTGAAATTGTCATTCAGAAGAAGATTACTTTAATGCCACGCCGTTGTCAGAAAATAATTGATATTAATGGATATTCTATCAATTACTACTTATTCGTATTATTTTCAATTGTTAATGTTAATTTTTTCGTTGAAATAAAATACAACAAAATACCGTTGCATACAATATGTTGCTTTACTTTTGTCGCCTTCATACTTATTTATTTTTATAATCATCATTATTTACCATTACACCAATAAGTTTCTTCATTCAAAAATAAATAAAAATGAACAGTGTCCGAAATTCGTTGTCATTCGCGATATCTCGGTTATGAGTAAAACTAAACTGGTCATGTTGATACTTTTTTGTGAAACGAAAGATGCCGTCGACAGAATATTCTTTCCGTCATTGTATTGCATTTTATTTGTTAAATTGCAATTTTAGAGCGTTGGCTCTGACCGAAACAAAAACGCTTTGTCTGTCGAATTTTTAATGTTACAAAAGTACTGACTATTGCTTAGACCGTCTTATTAAATTGTTCTAAATATTATAGCTGTCAAAGAAGGCTTTAGAAATGTATAAGGTATAATACAGTACGTTTTACTTTTATGTAACTTTGATAAATGTATATTGAAAGTTTCCAGAACAAAGACAGCCCAATAAAAGAATATCCGGTAGGCTTACAACCAACCTATTTAATTTTGGATCATTTCGTAAAGGTCGACCAAAAACGCATAATAACATAAATTAATATTTTGGCGACAGTAAGAACAACTTCTACAAATTCTTCTAGAAAAATTGAGGATAGTGTAGGCGTTCCAAAATCCAAAAAACCTTATAAATTTAAGCTAGTTTTTAATTTGCATCCCGGGGACCAACAACGAAGACTAGAATTTTGCAAGAGGAAAATAGAAAAAACGGATACAAACACTTCTTGAAAAACTTTTTAAGTTAAAATAATAAATTAGTACTAAATATATAATTTATGGTGATTTATAGTTATTAAATAAAATATTTAATAATAATAGTAATTTATTTGCATTTCATAGCCTACTTACATCTGTACATCGCGCCTTTACCAATATCTATTTAACAAAATGAATAAGAACTAAAGGTTCACGTTTTCACGAAATTATATATGTTCACATGACAATTGTTTCGACAACACCGTGTCTTTATCAGTTTGATCAATTTGATAAATACACTGTGTTGTCGAAACAATTGTCATGGGAAAATCTGAACTTTTAGTTCTTATTTAGTTTGACAACTAACAGGCCTACAGAAACCTTGTGAAGCTGACTCCATAAACTCTGTCTCTCATGGCATGGAAGTTCAAACTGAAAGTGATATCGATGAAAACTCAAGTTTTTTATTATTATTAATTCTATTTGTTTATGTTGGTATTTGTTGTGGATAATTTGTGATTAGCAGAATTTTTATTTTTTATACGTAATAAAAAAACTGTTGTAATGAATGGAGCTGAGCCACATTTACATATTAAATAATGTATGTAATCGAAAAATTACAGTACGCAAGTAAAAATCATAACCTTCTCTCTAATGACAGACTTTTTTAAAAGCGCGCCAGCTCAAGTTTTTGTTTATGTGGGTTAGAATAGTTCACCAGCAAAGCGACGAAATGTCATACGTAAAAAAGGAAAGTTGTATACTTTGTTTTGTACACTTTTAGCTTATTCTTCCTACCACAAATTTACTCATGATTCATTACCATTTTCGGTACGTGTCCTACAATATTAACATGTGCGAACAGCTCAACCATCACCATCATTCAATCCTCCACCAACCCCGTCCACTACCTCCCTTGACCTCGATGGTCCGCAGTTTCAATCGACCATTCTCGCCAGCATTCTCGACTTTGTCCGACCTACATACGGTCTTTGAAATAAGAAGCTCTTTAACATTCCGCTGCATTCACCAGTTCATGTCCAACCACGTATAGTGTAAGAAGTTCGTTGTTTTTTTTGCTTTCCGATAACAATAACACGCTTTTTTCCTAACCTAACAATTTGCTTTTGAAAACTTGATCTTTCCCGATACCTCATTTCCTCGCATCGTAACAAGTGTCCGTCGGCTGTGACGAGTTTTGTGGTTTCGTGAGGTCACGCTTTTTTTCAATTTTAATTTTCCAATTTTGTATCGTCCATATTTTAAACATGTATACCATATAAGATTTCAATACGCCGTTCATAATAATAATAGTGGTCGTATAGCGGTCGTATAGTGTGTGTGTGTGCATGTGCTTCACTTTTACTTTCTAAAAACGGGTTTTGCTTTGCTGCACTGCATAGAGATAGGAAGTCGCCGTTGGTTGATCTCGTTCATCGGCGTGCGCGGTCAAGCACACTATTAATGCCTTGATATTGCATGCACCGCGCATCCGCCATCAAGTCAAGATTGCTGTGACAAGTTTTTTCTTATTGTTCTAGAAACATGAGGCAAATTCTGTGGTGTTCGGCCGTACTGGTCTGCTTTTTGGCGACTGTTGCCGAAAGTAAAAGCTTATCAAAGAGGGAAGCCAATTACGCGTCGGCGTACGAACACGGGGAGGTCCACCACGTAGTAAGTATTTCGTAGTTTCGAAAATAGTAGAAGACTCTCAACGGTTACTTAATCGCACCACGTAACAAAAATCGATTCAGTTCGATCTGCTTTAAAGGTCAAGTTTCTCTGATTGGCGTCGGTCAGAGTTAAATTAAAAAAGTTAATTACTAGATTAAATTGACCGAAGAATGCAGGATTGAAACTACAACGGATTGTGCTTGTAGCCATTAGAGGTCGGCAAACTTTACCGAATAATTCTCTTAACTGAAATTCCAATATCTGCAAATTATTCTTAAATTAGTGTAACTTTTTTAGACAGATATGCAACGTAAAAAAGGCGTATTGCAAAACAAAAATTATGTAGAACCTAACGAAAATTCAATCGAAAAAACATATATAATTAACATATAAATAATAATAAAATAATATGTCTAGACTAGATAAAATGGAATCCTTTAATAGGCAGAAAACAAAGTTTGTTCTCGTCGCTGTTACATGGAAAGATTACGCAGACTTATGCGCGCCTCTGTGTTGATATTAACGGATGGTAGCTTATTCGGAAGATACCTTCATAACTGTACAGCCCACTCGACAATCGTTACGTCACCAATCGGTCGGTCAGCACTTTTACATTCTTCGCGGTTTCTTCCTGATTGTTTGCGTTCCGATTAGCATCTTTCGCAATCAATTTCTTATAATATATGGATTGAATCACGCTTAACACGGTCCCGAATACTTTCGGACGCCGAAAACGGTGAAGAAAATATCTATAAAAAAATAATTAAATGTTACTTCCACTAGAATCCTTTCAAAACTTGTCATATATTTTTTTTTTACTTTTTTACACTTTTATTTCAATTATAAGTTTGGCACTCTAAATTGGGCTCCATAAGTTTCAAAATTCCTTCCATACAATTCCTTCAGGCTTCTTTTATTTTTGAACCAGTGCCATAATTTTATTTCAGGTGTTCTACAACAATAAAAATAGATAAAATTGCTCTAGAATTCCTGGTAAACATAAGCAATAAAAAATACATTGCTCCTTTTTCACATTGAAATTTTAGATTCCTTTTTGATCATTTACTCCTTTAATTAGATGCAATTTGAAATTAAAAGGAGACATAGGATCCGTCGATATAGTGCGTAATAAAAAATCATTCCAAATATGCATAGCATGCTAGGTCTAGCTTTTGTAACATTTACCAAAACGTTTTAAAAGTTTTGCTCAGAACAGCTCCATAAGGAGCCTTAAAAAATAAACATTAATTCGCTTTTCATTATTTGTTCCTTAAGTTCAAGGCAATTTGAAATTAAAATGAGATCTATAGCACCAATGAATAGAATCATCAAAAAACATTCCAAATATGTATAACATACGAGGTATAACTTATAAATAGCCCCACAGGAAAACATCCTATCGGCTATTATTGGTACACCACTGAAACCAATAAAAAATGAACAGTGTTCCTTTTCTTCATTGATATTTTAAATTCTACTTTCAATATTTATTCCTTAAGTTTAAGGCAATTTGAAATTGAAATGGGATCTATAGCATCAATGAATTGACTGATTAAAAACAGTTCGAACTATACTATACTATACCATACTATTTGAAACTTCTACAGAATTTCTAGGCATTAGCCAAAGGGTTTCCAAAATTTGGCTCTACATAGCTCGATAAAAAAAATCTAGTCCGCTATTTTGGGTACACCACCGAACGCATTAAAAAATGAATAGTATTCCTTTTCTACATTGATATTCTAAACTCTACTTTCAGCATTTATTCCTTAAGTACAAGGCAATTTAAAATTGAGATGGGATCTATAGCATCAATGAACTGACTGATTAAAAACAGTTCCAAAGGTGCATACCACACTAGTTGTAACTTCAATTATAGATTTTTTGGTATTTGTCATAGCGTTTCCAAAATTTTGCTTTAAATCGTTCAACAAGCACAATTTGCTTTTCCTCAAAAAAAAATTATATCTGCTATTTTTAGGAAACCACCAAAAGCAATAACAAATAAATATGATATGCTAAATGCTACTTTATTGCTAAGTTCAAGGCAATTTCGAGTTATAAAGAAGTCCTGCCATACTAAATCTAACTTCGTTTCTAGAATTCTTTGGTATTTGCCAAAGCTTGTAAAAAATTTTGCTCTAAATAGTCTGACGAGCATAAGAGACTTTTCCTCACCCGTTATTTTTGGTACACCACTGAAACCAATTAAAAATTAACAGTGTTCCTTTTCAATTTTCATGATCAAATCTAACTGATCCCGATCACTAGGGTATTAGCAGCTTACCCAAAACTTGCTCACGAATTTAATGCGAATTTCAAATTACGCAATAAATAGAGCAGATTAATATACGTTCAAATCGCTGCCGGCGGCCATTTTATCCGTTACCAAAGTAATTCCTGGGTAAACCGCAAGCTTAGACTTGTGCCTTTTTATGGATATGTTAATTGGACGTATTGCGAACATTTAAACTGTTGCCGCACAGTTCATTCTATCCGATCGAGTTACATATTATGCGCTTTTTTTCTCTTAATTGTTGCACCGCCTTTTACATGCATTTAGGAGTTATGCGCAAACAATACATTTTGAAGGTTATTACTTTCGAGTTTCAAGAACGTTAAAACGGCTGTTACGATCTAAAATACATAATTAAAATAATGCAAATACAGGGCAATCATGCAGCTCCGGTTGGTACTAGCATGGGAGGGACATAAACCTTACGCAATGGCAAAGAACTGGATGGCTAATTAAAGAAGCAAATAGCGCTAATGCCGAAACAGCTATATTGTATAGAAAGTGCGAGGTTTGTGGCGGCGGGTGTAATATATTTAATTGCCGCAGATTTATGCAAATTGTTCCAATGTTACAATCGATGTTCTAAAATAACGGCTATTTTCTGCAAGACAGGAAGACGGGAAATTACCAATTTTTATGATACCCCTGGCTTGTTAGCGATGGCAACAAGTGAATCTATATTGAAAATAAAAAGGAAATTTAATAATTAACAAACGTTATGAGAACAAAACAAAATAATTCATTATAAGTATGAATTTAATTTTCAAATTGAAATGATTTGAAATTAATTATGTGATTAATATCAATCTATTTCGAACCTATGGGGATATTTTGGACAATAAGTTTCCTTTTCGGTAGATTGTACCGTTTTAACGCATAGTGGACACTCTGTGTGTAATTTATCTAAAACCGGTCATTTTTATATTTATTTTTAGAAAAGCAATCTAATAATGTAAAGAGTCCCATCAAACTTTTAAAACGATTAAGCAAAAAAAAAAATTCTAACACCTTACAAAAAATATACTATTTCATAACACCGTTAGAAAAGTAACAAAATTTACTAACAAGTTATATCTCTCCAATAATTATATGACTGTCCAATAAATCGTTATTATATTGTAAATCTTAAACTCGACAAATATTGCGAAAAAGGTAAGCAAAAGTAATCCTTGGAATTACCTGATAACCGTAAAATAAATGCCAGGGCTCACAAAATCAATCATCTGTGCGTAACTGAAATAATGTTAATAAATTAAACGTTTATTTTATCAACTAAGTCGCCATTTTCTTAACCTGTACGGAAGCTAGCCAAATTTCATATCTTAATTAATTTTGCGAAGTGTTTCCAGGATAATAAATTAAATGTATATTGAAAATAAAATTGAAAAATTGATCCATTCTCTCAGATACTTATGTTAAATATAAGCAAAACAAGAAACCCACTCATACTGTAAATTCTTGTTTTTGAAACATGAAAAGTGATCATGTAGGTGAAAACTTTGTAAATCATTAGACTACAGAAATTTAACGACCGTTTTATTTATTTATTTCCTTTTTTTTTGACTGTGTAATACTGAATACGAACGTATCTTAAAAGAAAATGCCTTACAGGATCTAGACAAATACAAAGACAAAAAGAAAGTGGAAGTTACGTTTGGAGTGAAAAATGCACTGATAGGATTCGTATTCGACGTAAGTATGAATAAAATATAGTCTAACACTAAAACTGCTTTAGAAAATATTCAGACACCTTTACTCAAGAATAAGCACACTTACATTTTATTTAAACACAAAATTTAACTGAAATATTGACGAACGCCTAGATGTAGGACTAACGGCTTTAACCATTTTTGTTTTAAAATCTGAAGAGCGTCCATTCAAAACCAGACATCTACATTTTTTACATAAAATAAAAATCAATTTCAATTGTAAATATTCAAAGTTCAGTCCAAAAATACGTACCCAAAAATGTTTCAAATTTTTGTCGAAATTAATTTACGAGGACGTCTGGTTTTATTATGAATGCTCCTCAACTAGGTTCGAGGAAAAGGCTTCAGATAATGCTAAATTGCGAATAATTGCTTTAGTGTACCGCTGATGATTTCCTAGCGTATTTTTTTTTTCAAACGCTTACGTGGTCAGTTGACGCGATATTATATGTGTGTAAATAATTATCATTTTTAACAAGCAATTTCTTTTACAGTTGCTTAAAAAAATTGCGAAACAAGTAGGTATACACTAACTAAATCACCATTTCTGGTACCTTGGTCGTTATAATGCAAATCGAATACATTCTTCACACTCTAAATAACTTTAAATCTGCATGTACTGCGTAATATCCGATATAGAACTAATTGCTCGTATACGGGATGTTGGGAAAAACGTAATGTAGCTTTTAGATAATGTAGTGGCCTAAGGGAGTCAAAAATTGATGCCCCTCAGGCGGAGATAGCATTTTCGTTCACACAGTAACCTACACTTTGGGCCATTTTCTAAACAGTGATGTCCACTCACTTAAATCGGTTTCTCAGAACATCTAAAGAGATCTGGGAATATTTTGGTAATTTTCTGTAAAAATGATACATCTCAACTGAAATCTTCGATTTGATAAACTGTCAGCCGGCATTTTGGTTCTTGAACGTCGCTAGGTCTTATTGGGTTCTATTTAATAAGTGGCCGATAATCCACAGGGTAATTTCCCATGTACTTTTAAGGTAAAAAGTTACGTGATTTGATTCACAAGTCGCCAAAGTTTTCTTTTCTTTTTTTTTTTTCAAAATTTCAGCAAGAAAATCGGTACGTGGAGATTCTTTAACATAAAAAATTTTAATTTGTTCTTAACCCATATTATGCCAAGAATAAAAAAAATACTTTTTTGCTCTGAAATTATTTATATTGTTGCAATTAAGAATACATTACATGTGTCAAAAAAAAATAAAAACTCGAAATATACAAAAAGATACTGGCGCGAAAACGAACCACTGGGAAAAAACATTAAATAATGTTTTGGGGCACATAAGATGTAAAGAAGAAAGAAAGAAGAAAGTTCAAATTCGGCAGAAGACAACTAAAACTAGATTGTTTTCCAAGTAGAACCTGATTTGATACAAAAAAACGCATAATATTTTATGGTCCGTGAGCGCACCACTGGTAGCATCTTGTTTCATTTTTGGTGATATTTTACAAAGCATGAAGTATGTAAATGCACATTACACTTATTACAAACGTAAATTGTGTGGCTGTGGCAGATTCTACATCTCCTTCGGACTTTATTACCATGAACGATCATGAGACCTTGATTACCATAACCCACTTCATCTACGACAGCTGCAACATTTCTTTCAACTATATCAGTTGGTTGCCCAAACTCTTCCAGATTTATGTTATTCGTTCATATCTTCTTCGTCAGTCAAAGGTGTCCACGTCGGGTGGAATATAGACCGCGTCAATATGTTCTGTATATATTTTTTCAAGTTATTTTTAGCATAAATTTATAAGGAATGGCATGCCACAATACATAAGAATACGTAAATCCAAATAATATTTATCACTTTCATTGTTATTGTTCTCATCCATCACGATCTCCTCCATAGCCGCCTCTAATTCCTTTTGAGTCAAATACCTCGGAAATGCCATATTTCACGAACTGTAACGTTCACTGTACAAGGCACAAACTAATCCTAAAGAACACGCTAATTTTTGTATGTTTATTCTACATGTGCTGACTTGTCTAGACTTGCAATAACAAAGTTTTGTTTCACAGATAAAACCAGTGGTGCATTCACGCACCAGTAAATATTTTCAAAAAAATAAAGCATAATCAATATAATATTTCCAGTGAATGTTTTCTGCGATGCGATCTACATGCTATAGACTTAACAAAAATGACGATACAAATCCAAAATACTTTTTTTTTACTATTTTGGATTTACTTGAAAATATGATACAAATTTATGTACCGCTTTTGTTAACTTGTGAAGTCATATATAAAATCTTCCCTTTACACATAAAATAGCGATTTCTACGATTTTATATCCTTTAGTAATGATAATAATAAAATGTCTAAATGGATGTGCAAAAATATTTCCTGGTGGTGCATTAACGCACCACTGGGACAAAATGGGTTAATGTCTTTTCTCACTATCATATCATATTATCATATCATATTTATGTTGGTGTTTGGTATGTATGTGTTTGGTAAAAAAATTAATTACTCAATTACTTTTACGTGAAAAGGGTCCATTTCGAAATATTTTGGTTGGCTGGTGGAACAATTTTTCTAAAATAACTTTTTTAAACAATATAAATTATTTCCAAAAAACATTAATCAGACGAATACCAGGCGAAAATCTGGATCAAACTCACAGTAAATGTTGGAAATGTCCAACTCCAAAAATGAAAATAAAATTTTGACACCGTGTTTCTCAAATCTCGAATTTCAGCATTAATTTATAATATGACATATAAAATTACTTGTCATAAACACTTGGGTTAAAAAACTTATTTTTTTTTATTTACTAGAATGGCAGTCAGTGGGCGTAATCGCATTCTGGAATTCTAAAACCCCGTATTTTCTTACATTTCAGATGATAAAAGTGAACACGGTTTTAAAGTGGGAATAAACTCGATTGTTTTTCTTGGCTTTAGTACTTAAGGAAAAATGGCTCTTTTGGGCTATCAAAACCACTTTGAACAAATTAACTTATTTGAAAAATAGAATTTATTTTCTCAAAAAATAAATGCAACGCTATCACAAAAGCTGGCCAAGTAACGATCTAATAAGCCAGTGAAAACCACATTTCAATATGTCTTTGCTTATCTATAATATCAATATTAAATACTAAAATTCTCTCTTTTAGTAATATGTATATAAATTGACTGTTAAAACCCTAACATTATATTTAATATATCAATAATAATTAATAATGAAAACTTTATATTTTAATATATACTTCATCCCATAGAAGAGAAAGAGTCGCGTTTTCGATGTTTTGAAAATTAGCAGAAAAAAATACCAAGTACTTCTACAGGTCAAAAAGACATTTTTTTACAAACAGGGCCATCCATCAATATACACTATAGGCTGCTGCCATCTTACTATGATTTACACTTAAACAAAACGGCTGCTACTTTGTTTTCCAAGGCAAAAAATTTCGAAGGTTGTATCGACAGATGTCCAATATTCAATCATATTGAATGAGTATTAATAATTCTAGATATTTTTTTTTGTATTTTAACAGTAAATTTATATACATTTTGATTATGAAATAAAAATTGGGATTTAATAATGACAGAAATGGTGAAAATATTCCCAAAAATTAGATAATATTTCGAGTCATTATTTCTTTTACTTATATTATAGGTTAGGTATAAGATATGGAAATGCGTTTTTCTATAATAAATAGAACAAAAACCCGTCAACAAAAAAGAATCCAAATTATCGATACCGAAAAACGAGATTTAAAATTCAAGAATGCAATTACGGCCCCTGGCGGTCATTCTAGGAACTTCAAAATAATTTCCAACATTACTAACTTTAAGAGATTATTAATTGACAATCTGGTACGCTTTTGTTTCATTTTGTTTTATTTAAGACAGTGAATGAATAATAGGTTTAGAAAATTATTCACAAAAACACTTACTTAATCTTAAATCGTTTGGTACGGTTCAAAACTAATTAAAATTTAAACTTGCTCTTAAAGAACATGTTCCTCGCCATTCCCCAAGACCTTCATCTCAGGAATCTATTTGTAAAATTATTTTTATAAAATTTTAAACATTTCCATTACACGAGTGTGATGACACCGCATTCAAAGTAAACGGCCTCCAAAATGTAGGTTAGGTAGGTACTAAATAAAATAAATTTTATTTTTAAAAAATTAAGAAACACTTATGTAATAACCAATTAAGAAATTTTTCTGACAATTAAAAACAGGATTGAATTTTTAAACACATCAGCGCGTCGTGTCTTGTGGATACGCGAATGTGCTAGGCATTAAAATTGGTGACATTGCCTTGTAAACTAGCTCGTTACAAGAATTAAGGCAATGGGGTCAAACAGCCAACAGAGATTTTAAACTTGCATTTTTTATTCCGCTGATTAAAACTTATTATAAGGGATGATTCTGGTTTTAAGGTATAAACTGGAAGGAGTGATAGATCTCACCATTTTAAGCAAAAAAGTTTATATAAACATGAGCCCGATATTCGTCGGTAGCGGATCTACAGTGGGATAAACTTATTTTTTTATTATTATTTACAATATCTCTCACTTTAATTAGTAGTTAATACCTGCTAGAAGATAATTATTTTAGGTATTTCCGAAAATTTAAAAATATAAAGGGTGATGCATTTTTGGGGGTGGTCGCTGCTTTATTCGCCCAAACATTTTCTTAATAGGACGATATATTTCGTCTACTAAATTGAGTGACCTCGTTCAATTTAGAGGGGTTTTTTGCTTTTCAATTTTTTCCGAGATAAATAAGCATATCTATTCTAAAAAACTTTAATTTTCACTATTTCAGATAAAATTTATTCTTGGAGAAATTTCCTTTAATATTCAGTAAAATGTACTAAAATTGCAATATTTTCAAACATGAGTTAAATCAGTAGCGGGCACCATGTATAGTCTTCGATTTTTTGGTTCAAATGGGACTTTTATAAAACTTAAGCCTTGAGATACTGTTCTTATAATAACCAACGGCTCCGTTGCTTCAACTGATCTAAATAACTAATTTGTTAGAGACCCTCTCTGAAAAAATCTAACAGTGTGATGTATCATTAGTATTTTATAGGGGCTGGCACATACTGCACTACCTTAACCACGATTAAACAAATGATAAAATATAACATATTAACCACAAAAAATGCAAAAAAATCCATTTACGAGAAACAATTAAACTCATTTTCTCAGTTCCGCAAATGCTGCTCCGACATCAATTTTTGCGTTTTTAAGAATTGCCAGTAAAATATAAAATATAAAACTGAGAAACCCACAATGGAGTATATGAACTAAAGCAAATAAGGCATAATATATTTCTGCAAAACCTGGATGTCAATCAAGCGCCAAAATACGCAAAAGTCAATTTTGAAGCTGTCATCGGTTTATGCGAACAAAATTTTATAAAAGACGACTTAACGTTTAATGGGCAAAGCAAAAGATTCATTAGAAATCTGCAAAATTAGGAATTTATAAAGGGTATTTCAGTTCATTCACAAAATGCAGCTTGTTTATTATTAGATACTTCAAGTAGACTTTACCAATTTCGTTAAACATTATGTCTAATTTTAGGGCAAACAAGTCCAGTGGCGTCTAGGGAGATTTTTTCACCAATATATAGCTTACACTTTCTCCTTTTTGTACATTTATAGCGAATTCTTTACTTTATTTATAAATAACATTGGTAAAGAATAAACTTTTCGAGACGTCACTGGACTAGATAACTTGAAACCAGATTTGGTCGGTTTTGGTTATTTAGAACCCTACTACCAACGCCTCCAGCATTTACTCACTCCCAATAGTATCTTCAAACGCGGTTGGGAGATACTATAGAATGCTTTGAAATATGTAGCCAGTTCTGAGAATCTGTTACTAACACGCAAGCAAATTTGTACAAAAAATAATAACATCAGATCGCTTCAATCATCCTTTACTCGCACGTAACATACTCATTGTTGTCTAATTCATCGAATGCGTCATCTCGCCGTGTTAACAATGCCTTGCCTCCACAGAAAATCAACAAGTTCATCGACCACAAGACCCACTGGGTCGCACAGTTGGACAAACAAAACATTCTCAAGAACAAAGCTCAGCACATATATCCTCCTGCGGATCCCAAATTGGAATTGTCTTCATTGGTCTCGGGTTTCCTTGGTCAAAAAATTGAGGCCGCTGCTCCTGTTCTCCACAAATTAGCAAGCGGATCGAGTGGCGGATCAGGCTCCAACCATGGAGGAGGGTTCAATTTGGGCGCCTTGGTCGGCGGACATTAGCGAAGTTGTAGATAGTCTTTGCTTCGTCGGGCACTGTCGGAGTATGTTAAGAACGGGAGATTATATAAAAATATATTTGGACACCTTTGCGGCCTTCAAGCTCCATTCACACTCACGTCTGTGCACCTACCGACTACTTAGTTATAACCCTGTTTTTTTTCCTATTGACTTTTCCCAGCACCAACCAATACTATCGATTCCGGTCTTTTTGCTACTATGGTTCTTCTTCTTCTTTCTGCTTTAAGTACATTGACACTTTTTAGGTTAACAGAGCTTTCCGTTCGACAATTATTTCGTATTTTATTACTCAATTGGTGATATAATCTCCCAGTGTCCTAAACGACGTTCCAAATTATTAGCTGAATGTTTTTTTTTTTTGGAGAACGTGTCTTCGTTTATTATTAAAGATTACAACAAAGCAATTAAAACCACAATTAGTGTTAATTAGTTACCGGCAAAGTATAATTTAGCGTTTGCAAACTGGTTAAAAATACACCCGGTGTATGTTACTCAGAATGTAAATGAAAGTAGAAGATAATTATTGAGTTATATTCTAGTCCGCACTTTTTCACTAAAGGTGCTTATAATGGTTGGCAAAACGTCATTAAATCACGCGTTTCCCCTTTATAAAATTTTAGTAGAGTTTTAATATCGCATGTTAGAACGCAAACTGGTGCTAAGGGCCTTTTCTTATTCAGTACAGTCTTTGTTGTAATCTTTAATTATCTGAATTGTCTTACTTTCTCGGCGTGCCCTTTTATTTATTGTTTTTGCTCAATTTTCTCATGACTTTTAGGAATTTTCAACAATTGTTACGCTCTCTTGGATTAATTTTATCGTATATGCTTATGCATATGCATATGCTTCCGCAATATTTTATTTGAGATTATAAGTTTTGTAAATAATTTCAAATCTTTGAAAATCTAAATAGGCAATTTTTTTAGATCTTTGTTTTGTAGATATTGTACATATAAGTTTTTATTAAAACTCATATTTATAAAAAACTGTGTTTTAATCGTCGGTGCAATCCAATCAATCCAATAACAAATAAGGTAAATTGAATAAATTAAAATTTATGGAAATTCAAATATTCTAAATTACATATAAAACAATTAACCCACTATTAGTTACATGTAAATTTTATTTTTTGATCTCTAATCAAAAATTATATATAGTATAAAATTCGACCTTAGCTTTGGTTGGGTTCTCTACTCTGCTTAAACATTATCTTAATATTCAACAAATTATAGAGCAAAGTCAAGGTAGTTAAACACATTTTAAAACTAATTACAAAAACTAATAAGTAAAAAGGATGAGGAACGAACAATATACATATTTAATAATAATAATAATAACAATTTTAATAATAATAATAATAATAATTTTAATAATAATAATAATAATAATTTTAAATTTGACTTTCATTTTTTCTGTTATCTGATCTTTATCGTTTACTAAATTATGTAGTAATTTTTCACATATAGACTTCTGAAAAGTTTGCTCAACTCAATGTTCAATGCTCAACACAGTCTATTTCTTAATATATCCCGTGAAAATATTACGATAAAAATGTCGGTGAACATTTGCAAAGCTCTATCATGGCTGTTGTTAATTATTAAAATAAAATAATATGACTCCGCGTAGATGGGAGTATGAAAATTATCTTCCTAAAGAAAATGTCGCCTATAACCTGAGATTCTGCTGTTATGCTGTATTCTATGCGGTTCCAGTTGATTTCGCATTGACTATATCCTACTACGAATGAAAACTATGAGCTGCTACTACTGCTAAACCCTAGCAGGCCCAGACAGAGTTGTTCTCCCCGAGGCAAAATGGGGGATCCTAGTTCTTTATATTTATGGGGCTCAGTTGAGTTGAAATAACCGATGTACATAGTACCAGTGATGTTAATATTATATGCATGATTGCGAATAAAACTCATAAAGCCATAATCAATTGACAATTCCACCATTGATAAAAATAAATTTTAAAACGTTGCCTTTCAGAAAAGATCAAGTGGATTCTCATGGGACAGACCCCGCTACAAGCCAAGAACCACGACGCCTAAAGGACCCACCACAACGGAGGATATCGTCATATTCGAACCCGGAAAACCGGTATCGCTGCAAGTACCGGATCAGCTCTTCGGGTCTTCCTTTACTTTAGTTACCAATTTGTCCAATACAGTCGGAGACTTCATGATTGTAAGTTGCCGTATTTTCCGTTGTAATGGGTCATAAAAGTGCAGTTGATAACGAATCAATTTGACTTAGTAATAATCGATACTTTTTTTCTCAGAACTCTGCTTTGCGTGCCCAAAGGTTGTTGGAATCTATGAGGCCATTTTTAAGAGGAATTTTCGGAGCCAAAGGAATTGTAATAGAGGCCAGTACTGACAAGCCAATTTTTTCTGATCCAAATGAGAACAAAATAGATTAGAAAATATTCATAACATCGATATAGCGGATCAGTAGTTAAATGTTTTTTTATTCATTAAATGACTGTCAAATAAATTTCGTTTTCTTATTTGCCGTACCTATTATCAAACACACACACATTGTATTAAATTTAATTTTTTTAACAATCACATTGTTAAAATACTTTTTGCAAAGAAAACGCAGGAAAAAGCCCGATCTTGTTTGGAAAACATTTCGTTTTGAGTTTTAAAATAAACGATTTTTCTATTTTTTTTTTATTTAACTATTTAAAGTATACAGCAGCATAGCTGATCATTTTTATATATATATATATATATATATATATATATATATATATATATATATATATATATATATATATATATATATATATATATATATATATATATATATATATATATATATATATATAAATATATAAAAAATATATATATATATATATATATATATATATATATATATATATATGGATATATAAGTATAAGTATATGGATACTATTAGCTGTAATGTTATGGTACGGTCGGAATGCTGGTAGCATTTTTGTTACAGAATTAATTATTTTCTTCTTAATTAAAATGTTTTTCCTCAACCCGACATTTCTTTAAAGCTTTTTTTTAGACTTAATTTTGTTTTTCGATGTCAGCTTTGCCTGTCATTACTTTTATAGTGCACTTACCTGACTATCCATTGGATCGTATTTATATATTAAAAATATTTCTTAATCGAGAAAATCTTGGTCCCGTTGAATTTTTCTACGCGAAAATAAAAAAAGGATCTAAAATTATTTTCGCAGAGATTCTTTTATTTTCTTTTTATGTGCACCTTACACATCCATCATAAATATCAATATCACTTGACACGTGGAGACAACACTACAAAATCTGGCGTAAAATCAAAATATTTTAACAAAATAATGAGGAATATAAATCAATGATTGAAAGTAGAATCCATGTCACACTAAGAATACAGTGGGTAGTCTTATCAAGCGCACCGTCGCCAGTCGTACAGTCAATCTCAAAAGAGAACAGCCCAGTGACGTCAGATGCGCAGAAGACGAATTTGAAACGGCATCAGCTGTCGTTCGAATATGCGGCCGCCATTCGCGTGGATGAAATAGCTCCGATTGTGTACGTTTCGAGGTTGTGTTTTGTGGGTGCTTATATTTCTTTCATTTTTATAAACTATTATTTTCGTTTTGGTTCTATCTTTGTTAAGGTAAGGCATTTTAATGAAATAATATTATTTGCGCCAAACCGGTACTACTTTAATATAATAAATTGAATAAGTCAGGCAATCATATTTGCTAAATTTTCTATCACAAAGATGTAATTATTGGCAGTAGTATAAACGTTTTGCTTAAAATTTGGAAGTAAATATTATACGTTTTTCTTTATAAATAAATTTAAAACATAACCCTGAACTAGTGCTTGAAGTAATTTGTAATTTTGTGAGTTTTTTTTATTAAATTTAAGTACCTGTTTTACATATTGATGTACGAAGGCAGTGTTTTTATATATGAAGTGAGTAAACATATGTTTTCTTTTTAGATTATTTCTTTAAATGTCGCCGAAGAAACTTCGAAGAAAGGTCCATAGTAAGGGAAGGGAAATTGTGGCCAATGTATCGAATTTTATGCATATGGAAGCAGAAGAAATATTAATATTATTATATAATATATATATTATATATATAATATATATATTAATATTCCTTTAAAAAAAATTAAATGTCAGATGTGATTAAAACATCCGTCTCTTTTAAAATTTGTTGCCTTAAAATAATATATGTATACTTTTCAGAGAACGTACTTTAGCAGCTACAAAGGTTTCTCTCTCTACCAACAAAAGGATTTTAAAAGAAACGTTAAAAGTTGCAGGCAACCCCAGTTGCTCATACAGCACTCTCCAAAAAAAGCCTCCGAAAGTTTCTAGAAACCTTGACTTAGTAATATTTACCTTTGTATTGTGTTTAGTTCATTTAATTGTTTTAGTTTTTCATAAAAAATTTAAGTATTCTTCGCAGCAATAACAAATTGAAAAGAACAATATGTTAATTATTACCTATACACCTTTACCCAACAAAATTTTCAGTTATAACGAATTAAAGTTAACGCAATGTACTAGAATAATAAACATTGTGGGTATAATATATAGTATATATATCTGGTGAAAGCGCCGGACATTGAACAGTAAAATACACGTAATCGAAATAAGTGCGGCGACTGCTCCACCTACACTATAAAGAACGCGATAGGGAGAGCTTATTTCGCGTATCGAACAATGATGTCACTTCTTTATTGAGACAGACTCTAGCATTGGTGGCAACAATAATCAGGTCCGGTCTAAAACAAATTTCGGGGCCAAATTTGTCTTTATCAGAACTGTCGCCAGAATTTACGCTTACAATAAGTTCATCCACGTTGTTTTGGAGATTATCAGCGGACATTTCCTTTATGTTTTTTTTCTATGACATGAAGAACATAACGTACTGAAATCGGAGTTGTTCATTGGCACATATCGCTTTACTTGATTCCATAGCATCTCGATAGGGTTATGCTCCACAGTGTATGTTAAAAGTAAAACATCTATTAGTTAGTCTATTCATGCTCAGTTTTGCATGCGTTGGCAATTTCCAGCAGCTCTGATTTCAAGTAGTACTACATACAGCAGAACGAAACAGGGGTTTTGTAGGTACTTTAATCCCTCTTGTTAAACCCTTCAAAAACGTGTATCTCATTTAAATACAAAAAAAAAAAATATATATATATATATATATATATATATATATATATATATATATATATATATATATATATATATATATATATATATATATATATATATATATATATATATATATATATATATATATATATATATATATATATATATATATATATATATATATATATATATATATAACAAAAGGACCTTATCCACACCTTAGGCAAAGTATTCGCACAGGTAAGAACTATGGAAAGAATAATCAAAGAAGCATATAAACCAAAAAAGGAGTACTGTGAGATCAGTGGCAAACTATCCTTCTTAACAGAGAAGCTCCGTGCGATGGATATCGAAAAATGGTTGCATGATGTGAGTACAAATACTGAAGCAGAAAAGAAACTTCGTCTAGAAAATGATGAACTGCGAATGAATGCCACGCTATGAAAACGGAACAGAACGACAAACGACAAGAGAGATCAGAGACTATAAAATGTGACGCGTGTGCACGGGCGGAGAAAAGAGTCTTGAGACAACAGCAGCTCAAAAAAGAGGAGACTTTCGAGTGCTACCAGTCCATCAGTGAAGAGGACTGGGAAGAAAACGTATTTTACGATTTGGAAAGTATCGACGGACCAGCGCAAGACACCGCAACGGAGTGGTACCTAATTCTGCCGTGTAATACTAAATTGGAGTCGCGCAACAAAGAGATCAATAGAACAATCGACAAATTTGGGGCCAAACATGGTCTTACGTCTCAAAACAAGAGAGAAGGTGAAGTTGCCATCATGGTGCACTCCGTGAGCTTTCCTGACGTTAGTGGAAAATTAGTGCAGTCCACTAGGTGGATATTCTACCCTATCTTGAGCGAAAAATCCACTCAGTCAGAAGTGGGCGACTCAGAGATGTTCGAGGCTCTACGCAGGATCAAAATCCAAGTTATAAAACAGGATAGAACTAATATAGCGATTCTCGATAACGATGAGATCACCGGAACCATAATGACACGAATGCTGCAGTTCTTATTCTGCGATACGCCAGTACGTATTGCAAAAATTCGACGAGAACAGTACCAGCCAAGCCAGCATATAAAACGCAACAAAGAGACGAATCCGAGGAAACCCAAGGAAGATGCGCTGCTGATAGAAATGAAAGACACAAGCTTTGCGGACCTCCTTAAGGCCGTTAAAACTGCTGTAGATCCTAGCGCCATAGGCGTCGACATTGGACAACTTAGAAAAACAAGAAACGGTCAAGTCTTACTTACCGTTAATAATGGATCCGATCGAGCTGAACTGCTAAAAAGGGAAATTGGTGAAAAGGTACCCGGGGCCACTGCACATTTGCTAAAAAGCAAAAAAGTTCTCCACGTTAAAGACCTGGATGAAGTTACTACAACTGACGAGATCAAAGAGGCTGTTTCTAAAGCAACGGGCACCAACCCCAGTAATGTAGACGTAAGAGCTCTCAGACCAGCTTACGGAGGCAGGCAAAATGCCACCCTAATTGTAAGCGAGGCGAAAGCAGAAAAACTTATCAATCTTAAGACGATAAAAATCGGCTGGACTAGTTGCCGAATTTACGAAAGGCAGAGAGAAGACCGATGCTTCAGATGCTGGGGATTAGGGTATGTCAAGTCGCAATGTAAAGGGCCAGATAGAGAAAAACTATGTCGGAAATGTGGGCACGAGGGCCACAAAGCAGATGCATGCTCGAATAAACCATTCTGCCTCCAATGTAAAGCAGAGGGCCATCAAACCGGCTCCCCTAGATGCCCATCAAAAGTGCAGGCAGCGGTAGCGCCAAAGAAAGCAACCGCACCCACACAATCATCAGATTCCTCCAAATAAATACCAACAGAACTCGCGCAGCCCAAGATCTGGCGCTGGCAACCGCGATAGACATGCAAGCAGAAGTGTTGATAGTAAGCGAACCCAACAGAATCGCCATTCAGAATAGAAAGGACTGGATTAAGGATAACGAGTGCAAAGCTGCCATAAAAGTAATTGGAAATAACATAGCAATTAAAAGGCAGGGTAGCGGTTCCGGATATTGCTTTATAGAAACGGTAGACTTTACCATCTATAGTTGTTATTTCTCCGGCAACGACGAGATTGATCAACTGGACGAGGCCCTATTTGAAATCGGCAGGATGGTGCAAGGCAACAACGAAAAGGCTATCATTGCTGGGGACTTTAATGCCAAATCTACGGAGTGGGGTATGACGCATACTGACGCGAGGGGCGAAATGGTCACAGAGTGGATGGCCGCCAACGGCTTAATCACTGTAAACCAGGGAAACTCGCCAACGTTTCAAAGCCAAGGCTACGGTTCGATTCTTGATCTCACCATAGTGACTGAAGGCATCAGGATGAAAATCGGACAATGGAGAGTAGTTGAAACAGAAACGTTAAGTGATCACAACTACATAACTTTTGAAGTAAAAAATAGTGACCCGACAGTGGTACGGCAAAGAGAATGCAGAGGCTGGCAAGTCAAAAAACTTGACAGGAATAAGCTTCACAATGCAATCGGCTTGCTTGGCGGAGACGGACCATCGGCAAGAGATTTCTCAGAAGAGTTGGCAAAGCTGTGTGATATCTCAATGCCAAAGAAAAGGACTTTCAGGAACAAACAGCCTGCGTACTGGTGGAACAGCGAAATAGCGGAACTTCGTGGAGACTGTATAAATAAGCGACGGAAATACACAAGAACGAGATACACTAAGAACATGGGAGGAATACAGAGAAAGCAAGATAGCGCTCAGAGACAAAATCAAGAAGGCAAAGAAAGAGTGCTGGACGCGGTTCCTTGACGACGTTGATCGTGACATCTGGGGCGATGATTACAAAATCGCGATGAAGAGCCTTTTTGGATTTCCGCCACGACCTAACCTAAGCATGGAAGCAACAGAGAAGATCGTACGACATCTATTTCCGTGTCATGGCGCGGTATCGTTTGCTCGCGACGATGGTGCGAAGCCTGTAGTATTCACCGTGGATGAACTAAGCAACGCTGCTGCGAAACTTAAGAACAAGAAGGCGGCAGGCCCTGGAGGGGTCCCGGCCGAAATCCTTAAGGAGCTGGTGGCGACAAAGCCTGAATATGTATTAGCCACCTATAATAAGCTAGCAGAAAAAAGCTGCTTTCCAGCAGAATGGAAGGCAACTAGGATGATCCTGCTGAGGAAAGGCGACCACACGCTGGAGAACCCATCGTCCTATAGACCAATCTGCCTGCTGGATGCAGAGGGAAAACTTTATGAGCAACTAGTGATTGCACGCCTGCACAGGGAAGAGCGTACTGGTGGTCTGTCGGCTAGGCAGTATGGCTTCAGGAGCGGTAGACAAACAGTTGATGCCATAGCAAGGGTTATTGAAATCTCCAACAAGGCTTCAAATTTCGCGCATGCAAATCGTAGACTGGCGGTTATAATAACTCTTGATGTCCGAAATGCCTTTAATAGTGCCTCGTGGCAATTAATCCTGGAGGAATTAAGAAAGCGCCAAATGGACGAAGGCCTAATAAACTTAATAGCGTCGTACCTCTCTGACAGGGAGATCCTACTGGAGGCACAGGGACAGGCAAAGGGGATCGGCATAACAAGCGGCGTACCACAGGGCTCGGTCCTTGGACCCACACTGTGGAACGTGCTCTATGATGGGCTTTTTGCGTTGGAGATGCCAAACGGAGTGATACTAATAGGGTTTGCCGACGACATCGGCATGATTGTGGTAGCAAAGAACGACGAGCTCCTGATGTGCAACGCAAACACGGCGCTACAGAGAGTTGCGCGATGACTCGAGCAGAGACGGTTGGCCCTAGCGCCGGAGAAAACCAAAGCAGTGTTGCTAACCACAAAACGGAAGATAGGCCACGTTGTTTTCGATGTTATGGGTAGTGAGATTGGCTTGAGTGACGCTGTCAAATACCTGGGAGTGTGGCTTGACAGAAAGCTAAGTTTCGCTGAGCACGTAAAGCGAACTGAGCAAAAGGCAGAAAAAACGACTTCTGCGCTGTTGTGTCTAATGCCAAACATAGGTGGACCAAGATCATCCAAACGGAGACTTCTAGCGAGCGTGGTACACTCTCAGATACTGTATGGGGCCCCAGTCTGGAGCAAGATTACCGAGAATAAGAGACTAATAGCTGTGTTATCAACACTACAAAGAAAGCTATCACTGAGAGTGTGCAGCGCGTACAGAACGGTGTCCACGGAGGGAATTGGGGAAAACACTTCGAACACTGGGAGGTTATCGGTGGTGCGTGCGGTATTTATACCCTGCGCCGGAAATGGTAACCGTTACCATTGGCGCTTTTTAACAGTAAATTTGAGATAAACTGGAATACTACTGATATAATAGAAAAGTGAGACGAATTTTACAATAGAAAAAGACTGCTAGTGATTATTTATATAAATGGGAGAAAAGGGCTATTAATCGACATCGACAATAGTTTACATATTATTTTTTCATGATCAAACAATATTTTCTTAAAAAATATAATGATAATTTAAAAATAATTTCGAAATAATGCAGTTGCGGCAAAACGGCATCCGCATCAAACCCAACTGCCGAACCATCACATTCAACGTCATCGTTCAATCGCAAGGCATTCGATGACGTCGAGAACGACTCCTTTAGTCACCTTCTCTAACCGTTCAAAGCGGAGGCGGGGCCCAACAGTCTATTCCGCCATTTGATGTGCGTATTATTTTCAAAATATGACATGTTAATATTAATAGACCGCCTAAAAAACGTGAAGGATTTTTTGAAAAAGAAAAAAAGATAATTTACAATTTAGTTTTTTTATTTGTCCATCACATTTTACAATAGAGTCTTAAATGATTTAATAATTGTTAATAGGTCATTTGAAATGATAGAATTAAATGACAACATTAAACAGACTCAACTTTGATGTCTCTAGACAAGTTTTTCACAGGTAAGTACATACAACAGTAGCAGGACTGACAGTTTTGCAAGTCTTCTTGAAGGGAGCAATTTTCGCACCCTATCAAGTTACGAAGAATATTTACAAATATTACAAGTATAATAACAATTGTTTTTCTCTAAATTGGATAACATTATAAACAGTTATTATGATTTAATAATTCCTTCCCTGACGCAAAATGTGAATGATACAGTAAATTCAGATGAATAAAGTAATTAATGAACACTCGAATTAAGATTCTTGAGAGCTAATGGATAAAATTCATGCCTTTCTGAATAATAGCTATTTTTGGTATACAGGGTTATTCACGGTGTCCTATTAGATGTTTATGCAGAATGACTTACGGTAAAAACCTGAAATGATGGTTACTTATGTAAGCAAATAAGAGCTACCTATGTAAAATATTTTTGGCCAAACTGTATTGCCAAATAAACTCGTAATGTATATCAACTTTCGTTTTTTAAATGGAACACCCTGTATATTATTACATCTTCAGATTCTGTGAAACGTTCTGAAACTTTTTAATGTAACATGTACGAACTATACCTACCTTGAATATTTTCGAAGATAAAAAATACTTTTCAAGAAATTTAGCAACAAACATAATATTTTTTTCGCCACCCGTATACTTGAATTTTTGGTTGCGCTTTCATATTAAATTGCGTTATCATAATATAGTATGAGAATTAACTTAACGCGTAGAGGGCATTCATAAGATAAGATAAGATAAGAATTTTAAATGGCACATAAATGAGCAATTAATTTGGCATCTAAAAGTACCAAACTATGGTATATCTATTTTTACTGGTTTTCGAGTTATAAGCAAAAAACCAAAATATTCAATTAAGCTTAATATTCCGTTATTAGTTATGTTCAGATGAGTAATTGTAACAATGAAACTGGAAGGAAATGCATATGCCAACAAAAAAATAATATTCATAGAAACTGTTATACACAAAACAAATATTCAAGGCTAATAAAAGGTTTTAACTTGTTTTTAATTACATAGAACTAGACATTATGCTTGAAACTAGACATTTGCTCTAAGACGCCTATGGATTGATTTCATAATACTGGAAACTGTTGCTCTTTGAATTTTATTTGGAACAAGTTGTTGAAAAGCCTGTCTGACAAGTCTTTTATTCCAACTGGAGTTTTATACACTCCTTCTTTAACCAGTGTAATATCTGGCGAATGCGGTGGTCAGGTCCACGAACCTACAAGCCATATTCGTCAGTTTTCAAACATGATTGTAAGTTCTTTACTTACTCTATTTGTGCAATGAGCCGGGGCTCAACTCAGATATTTTCCCTTATTGAAATTCCCGTTGCAGATACAAAAATCTTTTTTCTTATCTATCATAAAAAAACAGGTTGAAATTAAACGTAAGTCATAAAAAGTATTTTTTTATCTCCGAAAATGTTCAATACAGGTTACACAAAAAAAGTTCCCGTCCGTTTCGCAAAATCTAAAAATGTAATAATATACAGGGTGCTCCATTTAAGAAACGGAAATTGATATAAGTTACGAGTGTATCTAGCAACACCGCATGGCCGAAAATATTTTACATAGGTAGCTCATATTCGCTTTCATAAGTAACCAACATTTCTGGTTTTTACCATAAGTCATAAATAACCCTGTATATACTAACCTTAAAATTTGGGAGTGCTAAGACCTGACATGTAAGCTACATTTCTGTGGAAATATCCACAGAAATTAAAAATTGTAAATAGAACTACGGGAAAAATATGGAGGAGTTTATGGGCAATACAAAAATCTTACGATCTTATTTTTTCCGAAATTCTTCTAAAACCTTATTGTTTTATTTCGCTACAGACCGTCCTCGTCCAATCTCCACGCCAAAAAAAACGCCATAATATGCAACAATCATCCGTGAAGTAGTAAGACCTTACGAGAATAGCACAGTTTGCAAATGCACTTATTCTCGATTATCCTCCTTAGTCATGGTTCCAAATTAAACCCTACACTGCTGACATCGTTGCGCTGATTGATATCCATACTTTCGGCGAGGACGTCCAGAATATCCAAAATTAGCGATTTGTCGAGCATTTTAAATCTCGGAAGCTTAACCACTTTGGTGAAGTGGTGAACAATCAGATCTAACGCATATTTCTTCATGTCGGTTGCTTGCATTTTATCGGCGGCTTCCAGAATTTGTATAACGTTTTCGAAAGTAACGTTCATTTCGAGATTCTGTTTGCAAAACGCTTGCAAACGGACATTAGTAAAGTTAAAGAATGATGCCGAGGAAAACAAGTATAAAGAGTCTTCGGGCGGCATCTTCACGTCGCCATAATAAATGTATCTCAAGAGAGAGTCAAAAGATTCTTTGGATGGAGTAAGCTCGCCAATTTTTATCTAAAAACAAAATTAAAAACATCAAATTAGTAAAGGTAGGGATAATCATTGGCATACTTACATTTACAGTGCTGTCAACCGGCATAAATGATCTAAACATCGCTTCGAAGTATCCACATCGAGCTCCCAAAATAGCTTTATGCGCGGGTATTACATTCCCGTCCAAAATAAGATTAACATCACAAAATTCTCTGCCAGTTGAACGAAGAAAGTTATTCATGTCTTGTTCTAGGGAGTTCCCAGCTAAATCGAAGTTATTTTCGTTGTTAACCTTAAAAAATTTAGTTATTTTTTTGTATGACCCCTCCTCCCAAAACTGACCTTGGAATATGGTATTTGTTTCCGCCTAATGATTTGCACCATTAATTGACTATCCAATGTTTCAAAATCGGGACTCATAATAATCTGATTATAGTTAGTGTCTTTAACTATGAATCGTAGACAATGTTCCTTTATGAAATCTAACTTCAATTTTTCGGCATTTTTTAGCGCTTCAATTATATTTTTAAGACATATTGTGGTGTTTAGATATTGTACACAAAGGTGTTCTAGCCGCGCCATTTTGAACTGTTCCGCCAGCTGATACACGTCCATCATCCTATAACACAAGGTGCGGTAAAAAAAATTATATATTTTTTTAATGTCCCATATTTTTGTTGTTTCATAGACTATGAAAGTGAGACGGTTTATTGTAGATATGGTTTTTACTGCTGTCTTGTGAGTTCTCTGTAATTCATCTTGCAGATATATAGGAAGACTACCTCAGCATGGAATTAAGTACCTTATATGATGTGCAATGAAACTATTGTAAAGTAAAAATCTAGATTTTTTGGTTTAAACTGTTTGTACATCATTTTATGGCACCAACCACAGGAGCATTTTTTTTTTATGATTTGGTTCACATGTTTGTCCCACTCAAGTATATTTGTTAAGATTAGTCCTAAAAATTTATAATTTTGTACTTCTTTCAGTTTAACATTGTTCAGGAACAATTGTTAATTTCAAATGTTAAAAAAAGTTCTTCTTGCAATAACTCTTAAATGTGTGAAGTTATGTGTTTATGCGATTTCAAGATTTTTTTTTCTAAATTTGGTCTACTTTCCGTTTCTGTTAAAATAATTAGATCACTTTTTTGAAATTTAGGAGAAAATTATAAATGTTTTGGGAGCAATAGTAAAAACCAGTTTGTCACAGGTAATTTTTTTTCAGAATAAGCAAGGTTTCTTCTCAAACCAGAACTAATTTCAGTATTTTCTTTCTGTCACTTTAGTTATAATTTTTTTTCCGCAAATTTCTACAATTCTTGGTTTCGAACTTATATGCCCTACATACATACCGAACTAATATAATTTTTTCTGGATCTGAATCTTCCTTGGAAACTTTTGCGTATTTTTCTGGATCTATGCAATCCATGTAAATATAATCCAAAACCATTTTAAAGGCGTCAGAATTAGCTTTTGGTAGGCACACTTCCAAAAGAGGAATATCTGTAAAGGGTACTTTGGCAGTACCTAAAAAATAACATATTAACCCAACCATAAATTAATGCAGACGTAATTTAACGGCTATTAAAAAAGGCCATCTTCAAGAAAAGGTGTTGATCACTTAGTTCTATGACAATGAAACCTCCTGAAGATGTGCTGTTGAAACTTCATTTGTGATAAAACAAATAAAATGAAATAAACCCACCAAACAGCTTCTTTAAATGTTTATCCCTACTTTCTTTAGCTTGTCTAATTTTATCTCTTAAATAGGCGGATCTAGCAGCTACTAAGGCTACATGCCCGAGCACTCTTTCCTCATCTTCTCCAACTACAAATTTTACATCAAAAAATTCTTTGAACTCAGGTTTTGTCAACAGTTTTCCATAATCTTCATGTAAAGTGCATTTGGGATAGCTAGAAAACTGGAATCTGAAAAAAAATGTAGGGTACAGTCAAACTAAGACCCTGATAACCAAAATAAATAGAATGCTTGCCTATACATTTCCCCACTTCTAACATTATTATCGACAGTGCCACCAAAAATAAACATGGCATCGCCCACAACCGCGGCTGCATGAAACAATCTACCAGATGGGAGAAAAGACTCTGCATCGGGTAGAACCACCTAAATAAAATTAAAAATGATTATAATTAAATTAAATGATAACATTACTGCCAATTAGTCAAAGGAATACTAACCCCCCATGTTTGAGAGTCTAAATCAAAACAGTGTAGATCATTGGATAAAGTGGGATCTGTTGCGCCTCCAAAAACATACAAATGTCTATCGAATGCAACCATTGTATGACCATATCTTCTTGCCGGTGGCGGTGGGGCACCTCTCAAAACCCTTTCGGTTGAAATTCTAGTCCATCTAATAATTAAGTAACAATGAATACAAATTTATGGTAAATTTTTGTTTGATGGATAGTTCTCGATATTCCTCAAATAATTAACTAATTATGGAAACAGAAATATGAATAAAAAGTTGTATTATAAAGCGTATTATTATATGTAACAAACACTTGGAACAACTGCTCAGTTACTTACACCTTGTCTCTAAAACCAAACTGGAATAGAGAATTTGTAATTTTTGCTCCACTTTGACCACTAAATACAAACATAGATTCTCTAGCAACAGTAACGGGAAAGTTACAACATGTCGGGGGGCATTCGCCCCTCTGTTCAACTTCCTCCCATGTCCTTTCCCCCTGTAAAAAATAAGTACAATAATCGATCTATTATAAGAAAATTATAACTGCAAAATGTGAAAATTTTATAGTGAATCATTTTAAAACTATAAATAATAAATTATTTCTTAAAAAATGTGAAAAATTATTTCCAAAATAGTTCCAGCTATTTCCTCACAACTTACATATGTGAGGGAAATTGTCCACATATCGTTTAAGCGTGCATTTCCGTCGTATCCAGCAAATATCCAGAGTTTGTTATCGTATACCGCTGCTCCATGAGCGGATCGTGGGACTGGATTTTGACCCGCAAATTTCCACTCCACCCATTGACCCGAATTGAATTTATACTCAAATAGATCGTTTTTATTTGTTAAATTTGAATTGGAATGAATGTCTCCAGTATAACCACCAAAAACGTACATTGATGTATTATGAACTACAGCAGAATGATGGTACCTATCAACAAGAGTCTTTTGAAAAAACTAATCCAGTAGCATTCAGAATTTCACAATCACTCAATAATAAACCAGGAAGGGCAAACTACTCCATTTAGTTAGTTTCTGCTATAAGTAAATATGGTTAAAATGGGGTATATTTAATATATAATAAAATTGAATATAGATAGGTTGAATCAAAACTAAAATATTGTTGTGTTTGTGTGTTCCTTGAGTCTGAGATTCACTATTAAATTTTATTTTAGGAATTCCATAACACCATGTAAAAACTGATCAAAAATATAAAATAATTCAATGTAAATTGACTTCAAAATACAAAAAAATAAGACAAATGCCCACATAATGTGGAAAAACTGTATAACAGCTGCTGATCTATATTGCTACATTTGTTAACCTTGGAGCAGGTGGTGTCCCAGTGGCAAATGCTCTTCCCCAACTTTTCTCCTTAACATCAAATCGAAGTAGGTCATTAAGCATACTTTTTCCATTGTCTCCACCAAATACATATATAGCATCCTTATAAGCAACCACAGTATGTTTACTTCGTCTAGAAAAGATGTGGGAAAAACATCCATTATGAACTTTAATAATAATCACTACCTAGCGCCCACAAATTCATCGCATTCGGGCATTCGCTTCCAGCGATGGACTGTTTCAAAAGGTCCTATTTCTAGAGTCAAGGCACTAGCCTCTCCAGAACTCAAATTGCTCATTTTTAGATAGATTTTCCAATTATTTTTATTTCTTATGGAGTACCGTAAGTCAAAATTTGCGTATTTACTTATGCAGACTAATGGATATTCAAAAAAACTCAATTAGCCTGCTCCGCACTCAATATTCTGGAATTGTTAAAAGCTTGAAATTAATTTCATAATGTATAGGACTCCTACGCAAAATACAATTTTTCAAATGTCATATCAAATCACTTAACCCTAAAAAAATAATAGCATAGATTAAGCATAGACAAAGAATGTCAATAAACCATTACAATTTCACGGAATACTGAATAGTGGACCCGTTGAGAGTTGGGTGAATCCTAAAAGCATTTGGACATAAGTATGACACTACTTAAATGTTTGACGGAAGTTAGAAATTACTTTTCCAAATTTTTAGCGCGTGCCCCTCCAAGTAAACCCATATTGATCAAATAAACAAACACTTTCAACTGTAAAAAACAAAATTTATATTGACTGAACAAAATTAGGTACCCAAAAGACACACATTTGCTTTAATTTATTTAAAATAATGCATAATGTTGAATTATTTTTTTACTTACACCTTTTACTTCGAAGAGATATGAACTGAATTTATCTGCCAGTTTCTTGGCTTGTTTAAATAAACAAAAATTGGAACAAACAGAACAATATTCAACGTAAAAAATATTAAGATATCTTACCACGTAATGAATATATCTTATTAGAGGAAACATTTAATGAATAGAAATAAGCACTTACTCAAATTTAATTTTACGAAAACTCCATACAAATTATCCAATGCAAATAATTACTATATCAAAAAATGTGACAACAGAGAAATTCAGGCCCATAACATTAATTTATTTAATTAAACCACACTTTCAAGAGGTCATTTTCACAGTAAAGTACTGTCTATCTGAGTTATTAACAATTAATATTATTAACAAAATTTAATGTTGGAGTGTTTACTGGAAAACCACAAAATTGCACCAAACTGTCTTCATATAGCAAATTCAAGCTACATATGTGTAAACTTTCCGGTCTTCAGGTGTACGAGCCAAGTATTCGCGTTCTATAAGTCCCTCGATTCGTTTCTTTATAATTACAGGAGAAGGCAAGAAACGACTACGCAGCTGGTCTGTTACTTCGGTAACTAAAATGTTATGCGGCATTTGCTTACGAGATTTCATAATACGCACAATGGCAGCTTCTATTTCATGTTTGCGGTCCTCGTCGACTTTGCTACGTGTTTCTCTACGTTCAGGTTCACTCTCGCCTTTTGCAGCCACAGTTTGAATCTTCACACGATGAAGTTTCGACGAAAATGAATCGTTGACATAAAATTCATGACTTGCTTCAATTTCTTTAGTCTTTGGCATTTTAATTAAGATACGTTGTGTTGCTTTGCCCATGGCAAGTGACTGTAATGCTCTAATTAGGTCTCTTTCTGGAATATCAGATTCATTCAATATTTCCTCATATGTCAGTTTATCATGATTGTTAAATAACATAAGAACCACCATCTGGTATGTAGATACTTGTATAATATGCTTACGAGATCCAGCACGGGAACTGGTTACAAGACTGGTAGATGAACAGGCACCATCATTCTCTTCCTTGCGAGGCCCATAAAAAACGGCATTCAGATCTGCATTACCTAACTGAGGTTGCAATGTTAGCTGACGTCCACTATGTTTTGCCAAATAAAATCTTCTAAAATACTCAAAAGCAGCTAAAGGTGCTGCAGGAATGTGACATTTAGGTGTTGCACTTTGTGTCGGCCAAAAGCCTGTTGTTAAGACACGCATAAAAAGATCCACACCACCTAGACTAGCATCTGTCTTAGTAATATGTTCCTTAAACTCCTCCATTATTGTATTTGAAACAGTAATATCTTTAAACATTCCTTCCAACTTTGAAGTAAACTGGCATCCACATTCAGTTTTCAATTTTGAAATCATATTTTTCTCCCAGTCATCACTCACGGATTTGTTTAAAAGCAACCTCTTTGCCAAATGTTGCTTGTAATATCTCTCAAAAACATCCTTTTCTTGAAGAAATCTGAACAATACCATTGATTTGTCCAATACAAGTTCAATATCTTGTTCTGACATTCCTTTGACACCTTTTTTTAATTTATCATCAATGAACAATGATAAATACTCGGGAGATTTTGGATTCAAATTAAGGAAATACTCAAAATCTGTGGCAATCATTTGTTTAAATATTTTGTCCCTATTGAAAGAGTTATTTAGAAAATGGTCAAATCCGTCCTTGAGATCCAATAAAGATTGAACAAAATTAATGGCATTTGTTCCTCCTTGATGTTCTTCCTCCTGAACAAGAGCTTTGCCCTGTTCTCGCAAATATTGACTCACACAATCTGCCATAGTTTTTAGTCCATCCTGAACTCTACCAAATATTTTATACATACAAGCAAGGTCTTCAGTCTTCTGATGTTTCAGCATATGAACAACACCAGAATTTTCCATTTCAACTATGGTTTTCATGTGTTTTTTAATAAGTTCTTCCTCAACTACTTCTACTATTCTAGGTTCAGTCGATTGATCCAAATAATGTTTTGCTCTATCTGACTCTTCATTTATTCTTGCCTCTACCTTCTTTATATACACTGAAGCACTATTTTCTGCTAAAAATTTCTGACTCTCCACTCTATAAAACTCTGCAGACTGTTGTAAAAAGGGACGTTCAAAATCTTCTTCATAAACAGTTCTTGAATTAATACCTAGTACCATTAACATCTGACACGCATTTTTTATGGAGATGCGATCCACTTTTTCTCCTTTTCTTTCTCTCATAACCATGTCTAATAATGTTTCTCGTAAATGATCGCGAATTCCTCCATGTCTTACAACTTGGTCTCTGAATATAATAAGTCCCAAATTATATACGTTGTCTACATCATTTTGTTGCACATACACTCTGTCCATATACATTAGAATGTCACGTATCATAACCATAGAAGTCTGATGATCATTCCATGCTTGGTTCAATGTCATTAAAAAGTTGTTGTGTAATGACTTCAACACATCTTCTCTAACCTTAAATTCTAAATGATGGGTAACCACTTCTTTAAGCCCTGTGTAGAGCCTCTCTCCATGTTTATGGAGCACCATAGTATAGGCATTTCGATATAACTCTTCAAAACTAAGACCTGAATTATTCTTCTTTTGTATTTCTTGGATAGCATTTTTTAACAAGGCCCATATACTTTCAACATACTTTTCATCCATAGTCATTGGAAAGGCCCGGATCCGCATTTTGCCTTCCTTTTTTGTCAAACCACCACTCTTCATAGCTGACATTGCCCCAATTTATTTTGTTGTACACTTGCCAGTAGGCAAACAAAATGTAATTAAATCATAACTTTCACCCAAAAATTTCGGCCTGTTTTTGATCAACCCACAATAGTCACTGTGACAGTGTCAATATTCACAACACATCAACACAGTCATTTATTGTATGAAATCCTTTATGTATTATCAACTTCTTACTATATTTGGATGGACACCAACCAAAGTAAAAACCTTTAGCTGATTGCCGAATATATGCTTAGTACAAAACACAAAGCTTATTATCATATTTTTCCGAAAATTATTTTCGTATTCACAATTAGTGCAATTTTTGCTTTTACGTTTATGACTCGTACACTAATAAAATAAACTTCACAGCTCACAGCATACAATTGCAAAGATGGCAAGAAATTCAGTGAAGAGAAACCAACCAGCAGTGATTAAAAGTCCCTATTTTGAAACCTGAATTAACGGTGGATGCTTAACAAATATCAACTTTGTGTTGAATTAACAATCAATTTTCCTATTCTCAACCTTTACAAATTAACTAGATTTCAACTATAAAAATAAATCAACATTCCAGTGTAACAAAAAAACTATTTTTTATGGGCAACTGTGAAGTAGTACAGTAATGCGGTCAACATTCGCCAGATTAGACCCACTGCAAAGAAAGATGTGTGACGTACTATGCCTCTGATGCATGGATTTGGTAACATTTTTCTGTGACAGAAATTTGTCCTTCATGCGAAGCGAAATTTATAGCATTAAAAGCCGATAAAGAGGTTCAAAATGCAAAACTAATCGATTCTCCTATACACATATTCCAACTATATCGGAGTTGGCTAGGTGACGTCATGACCATGTCGTTCGCTGCGCATAACTATTGTCTGTTGTTGTCCGGTTGGATGAAAAAATGGTTAGTTTTAGTCAGTTTTATTCACAGAGAAAACTAATAATTCTCTCTATGGTTATATTTGTTAAAAGTGAACCAAAACAAAAAATGGCTTTAAAATGGTTTATTTCGGTTTCGCTGGGTTATATACTGTATTTTTAAATTCATCAGTAATCAGTGCATTATATAATATATATTTCCTGTAGACGTCTCCGATAAATTTAATAATTAACTAGGCAAATGAAACCTCTTAAAATAGTGAATAATTCAAACACATGAAACTTCAAGTATCTTCCCAATTTTCTTTTATCAAGCTAAACTAGGCACTGTAGCACCCAAAACAATCGATCCTATTGATACGTTGCCATGGAAAAGCGTAAACATGTACAAAAGTTTGCCAAAGTTGCCCACATATTACAAAATATTTTATGATGAATAACGTTCACGCCAGGTTTAAATTATTATTATTATTTAAATTATTTTTGACAGGCGGTTAGATTTCTATGTTCCTGCAAAGTTGTATAATTTTCATCAACCATTTAATTAGTGGCTTAGTAACTCTTTCAAGAACTGTGCGTGGAATGTCGATAAATACATAAATGATCAACTTTCCGAGGAAGTCCAAGAGGCAACGAACAAAAAATATCGGAGCTACAGAGAACAGAAACAGAAATTTGACAGGATTTCCACAATCATAGATCTCCTTATTAGTTTGATGTTCATATGGGGTGCTTCAGACTTCCTTTACGTTTAATTGAAATTGAATTCTGAACAATGTTTTTAAAATACATTTTTGTATATTTTTTAAATTAAGGGTACTCTACTCTTACTCCTATTGCAGCTAACATCTGTGACTTTTCAATAGTTTTAGATTTTCCTTTGTATCTAAAACTTTTGAAAGAATAACTTTTTTATATACAAACTTCAGACTAGGTTCAAATATATTTCAAGAATTACTTAAACAAGGTTTTTTTAAGCGCATTACAACAACAAAAATATTAAACCTAGCTTAATGTTTCTGCATTTTAAGAGGTTTGTGGCCCACCGTGCGGTTTTCCCTTACTGAAAATTTAAAATTTCAAATAACTTTAACACGAAGACGAATGAAATAAAAAATTTGAGAAATTTGATTGACCGACAACTTTGTTTTTATCTATGGTTTTCATTTAGTTGACGATATGATTATTTTGTCCGCAACTAGACTGTACCGAATAACGTTTTGACTTGAGGTTTTCATAGTTATTTAAAAAAAAAACATACACATAAATTCGTATTTTTTTGCAAAATTGGATGCAAAAACTAATGGTCGCAGAAAAAGTATTGTATGCAACACGTTTATAAATTTCTTTAGACACTCGTTTGCACTTGCTCCGGTCGTGCGAAATTAAACTCGTGACTAAAGTGCCGTTTACAAAAGTTGTCGTTAAAGTACTATTTGATGCTACTACCAATCAGGTTCAGATATTTAATTTAACGAGATAATATTTAGTACCAAAAAATCTGGCTATAAAAAAAAATTTCTCCCTAAATACATTTTATTTCATTAAAATCCGTTACTAAATCGACAAATTTATTTATACCCATTCACAAATTACAACTCCAAGGTAGAAATTCAAAAAAATAAATTATTTTTTAGTATACATTATTCTAGCACATATGCATTGACAGTACACCGAACATTAACAAGTCAAAAACGCACACTCTCGATGCTACTCTGAACGTTGTAAAACTCTTTCCTCATTCATTCCAGACACTTCGTGACACCTGGTGATGACAAACGTGGTATTTGCTCTAACAGGTATATTGGGCATCGGTCAAATATACTAAGAAATGGCAAGTAATTTTTTTCGATGCTCCAAAGGCAATTTTTTTATGGCAATTAATATTTCTGCTATCGGTTCAGGTTATTTTCGTTGCCCTAAGGAGCAAAAAATTGAACGTTCAGAAATTGTTAAAATATTTGATATTTGTTTTTATACAGGGCGCCCGGGAAAATGTGGAGAATATTTTTGAAATAAGACACAACACGAAAAACTAAGATGACAAGTTGCTACAATTTTTTTTCGTGGACCAACGAAGTTCCTAAAACACGCCGCTGGAAATTAGTTTTTCTTGAACCACTTTTAAAGTACTTTTATAGTAATAAACGTATTTCATATTTCGTACATCCAAGGGGATAATTTTTTAACACCCTGTATGGTAAAAACCCAAACAAAAAATATTTTTGGGCCACTTGAGACTTTAATTGGAAAAACGTACACACCAGTTTAATATGAATACAATAAACAGGTTTTGACAAAATAAAAAACGAATTAATATGTTATTTAGTAATTTTTACTTACTTTACTATCAGCATAGGTAAGGACAATAATGGAAAGAAAGTAGTTACTTCCGAAATGCCCAAAAATATTTTATGCTCTTATTCAAATAATGCTTTAGACAAAATAAATAAGAACTAAAAGTTCAGATTTTCACGAAATTATATATATTCAAACAATTGTCATGTGACTATATATAATTTATTTTGTTAAATGGATTTTCGTCAAGTAAAAGCCACCTCAGTTTAATTAATACTTTAGAGTGCAAAACCTGTCAGATCAACTTTGTTTAGGCGTCGGTGCAACGAAAACATAAAGCGATAAAGGCGATAAGTAGCTGATAAGGTGTCTATTGAATTCATCTAATAGCCATGGGGTTAGATCCAAAGACGAGATTGAAAGTGTCCCTTTTTATCTTGATAATGTTGGGTGCCATCACCCGACGAAGCTCTACTTGATGTTTTCACTTTGAAACTTAAGTTTTAATTGTCTTCGCAATATTTTTCCGGCGGCATTTTTCGGTATTTCACTGACTATTTGCACACCTCCCCTCAATTGTTTGTACTTTGCAACTTTTTCGTTTACAAAACTATTTAACTCTTCTAAATTAATGTTGTCGTCTTTGGTTCTCGGTACCACATAGGCTCTGGGTACTTCCCCGTGTTCCTTGTGCGGTATTCCTATTACTGCCGCGTCACCGACAGTAGGGAAATCTCTGATTACTTCTTCTAGTTCCGCTGGGGCTACCTGCAGAAATAAAATTTGAACAATTTATATTTTAATTTCCGATCTAGGTCTAATGGACAGGTGACGTGTGATAGGGATTCTCAAAGTTCCTATTTCTAGTTATCGACGGTATGGTTTTAAAATGTCATATCCCATGAATTTCAAATTTTACGGGAACCGTTCACCTGTAGTATATTTCGCAGCAAATTTTATAATCGACCGTAAAAAAAATGCTTAACGACTGATGAACCTGAAGTTTTAAAGTGATACTTTGCGCAAGATCATAATCACGATTGCATAATTTCGTATTTTAGAGTAGGGAGTAGAACAAAGTACATCATCATTGATAATACATCGCACAAGTGTTGTATGTATGAGCAGCATATGGGGTGAAACGTCATTTTACCACGTGAGTTACGTTTCCCACGGATCCGAGCCTCTTCGAACATTTCTGGGATTTTACCGCACGGGTTTGGGAGCAATCGGATGTTTTCCAAGATATTTCCCGCGCCTTGAATTTTGAAGTTTGTCAGTTCTAACGGTCATGACAGTGAACACGTTCGGCAAACTTTTTAAATCTCTCGTCATGACAATGAATACGTTCGGTAAACTTTTTAAGTCCCTCGTTTATTAAACACTCGCTCCGCGCGTGTCAAATAAACTCGTGAGCCAAATGCCGTTTACCACACTTGTTGCATAATATACTAAAACTACGGAAGTATTGTTCAAAATATGTTACAACACTTTCATCGTCTAGATTATAATATGAGTTTGAAAGTGAATTTCCTGTTTTCACACTTGGAGCATAACGATGATGGCCGACTGCTGCTGGATATTAAAACGGGCAAAAAGACGAAGATTTCACTCAAAAAAGTCCGAGTAAAGCTCTTTTTTCCACTTTTATTTTAACTAGTATTCCACTTTTTTACTTTTACTTTAAATTTGTGAAATCAGCCTACCAAAATAATATAAAATCAGTTTTCAAAACCAAAACACCTGTTAAAAACTTTAATTTTGTAGGGCTGTGTAACAATTAAAGATATGTTTATTCCTGTTTAAAGATAGTTTGCAATTACTTGGGTTTGAAATACATTGACTTCTAAGTAACAAGTTCGATAATTTGGTTTTATTCTTGAAAACATTTATTTTAGATTTAACTAATCTAAACTAGAGTCATTCTCGTTACAACTTTCCAATGAAAACAGTGACGTATTGCTTCATTAATTTCATTACAGTCATGGACACTCATACTTAGTAGAGTGATCCAATATTCTTCAAGAGCAATTAACTTTTAGATAATAAAATAGTTCAAACAAATCATGGGATACGACATTTTATAGCGATCGTTCTATTTTTCTAATATGAGTTGGTGCTTCTTGAATAAAATGTGTGCTTTGGCGAGACTTACTTGAAAACCCTTGACCTTAATCAGCTCTTTCACTCTGTCGGTAATAAAGAGCAGCCCGAAATCGTCGTAATGGGCCAAATCGCCCGTTCGCAGCCAACCATCTAAGAAAATTTCTTCTGTAGCTTTTGGGTTGTTGTGGTAGCACCTCATCACTTGGGGTCCCTGATGACGGAAAAAAATAAACTAACTAACTAAAAAATGCACGTTATAAATACAATCAATTGGTGCAACCGCCTAATCGGTCTAAAGAAAATGGAATATTGTATTTAATTTAGATTGTACCTACCTTTACCAGTAATTCCCCTGATTCGTTCGGACCTAAAGGTTTTCCGGATAAATCGTTCACGTTCGCAATTTTTATTTGTGTATTAGGCAGTGGCACTCCTATAGAACCTTCTGTCTTTTCTCGTAATTTTTCCTTTATGTCCCGCGTAGTCATTGCAATGACCGGCGATGTTTCTGTCAGACCGTAACCTACAGAAAATATTGTCTATTGAGAAAATTCTACATATTTCTCTCTAAGCCACTTGCTGTCTTGCTTGTCTTGAATCATTTTCAAAACTAGTAGGTAGCTTCTTCCACGTGAAAAATGTTTTTTCCAAAAATTTCGCAGTTTCACTAGCAACTACCACGAGTCTAACCGTTTTTGACATTTTTAATTTTTTATGCGCAAAATGACGTTTGCAAGACCTAAAATATCTGCCAATTTCTTTATTCGGAAGCATTTATTATTTCAGTTGAGTAAGTTTTATTGTAGACAAACGGATTTCATAAGAAATTTCGATTCATATTAATTAAATGGAAACTACCTATTTTTATAACCTTCCTTTTAGCTTTAGCTTTAAAAATTAAGACGATTAAGACAACATTTTTGAAATATTTCTATCACAAATAATTTGCTGGTGCCATATAATTTCAGTTAGTGTAAGGTGGCTATGACGGCGTTTAAACAAACAGAACGCTGCCTGCTTGGACGTGTGTTTTATTGTTGATTACTGTCATAATTCAAATATTTTTTGACACATTACTGATTTATTTATTTATTGTTTATAAACTTAATTTATTTGCTTGCTTGTGTGTCATGTTTACCACAGAGGAAAATATTGATATGTTAGAAAGTTGTATATCGAATGATAAAAACCGGACCCTGGCTCTTAGAGATTATATTAGAAAATTTCCATTAAGGAGGCGCCTAGAAAAAAGATCTACGGTAGGATTTACCAACACTTGAGAATATATGGAGCTTTGAAGAAAGAAAAAATAGACGTCGTCATATTTTGAATAATGAAAAGCAACTTAAAATTCAAGAAGATTCAACCCGAAATGCATCTTTACATTTAGGTGTTAAAAGAACGACGCTTGGAACGTGCCTTTAAATAAACAACTGGAGGTCCTATAAATTCTGTCCAGTTCAGAAATTAGAGCAACGGGATTACAACACCAGGTTAGATTTTTGCAACAATCTTGTGGAGAGACACTTTTCAGAAAATATGTTTGCTAATATTATTTGGATACATGAGTCCATATTGACAACCTCAACTAAAATTACCGATAACTGGAGCCACAAGAATAATACAAAACATATGGAAGTTACAGGATCAGATAGAACTTCTGTCCAAGTATGGTGCATAATTTGGAGGATCAGAATAATACGTCCAGTATTTTTTGATGAGCACTTCAACTCCCAACGCTACTTAGAGCTTTTAAATATTATCCATCCCTTTGTTGAACATGAATTGCCTGAAAGGAAACGACTAAATTTAATTTGGCAACATGATGGCGCTCCTTATTACAGAAGTCAAGAAATTTGCACTTATTTAAATGCACAAAGAGGGGAGGGGACATTTAAAGCTTTTCTATGCAAACAAACCGTCAACTGCCAACGAATTTAAACATCGTATAAAATAAGGTATCGGATATTTAAATAGAACTGAATCTGTTATGTATTTAGAGACCCTTTATACCACATGTAGTGCTCAAAGTAGAGGACATATTACACAACTGTTAGTTAGCAATAATTATTATCCTTTGTAAGCTATTAATTTTTTATTCATGGTTCGTTAATAAAATATTTACCGCGTATCCTTGGTCTTATTCTGTATAAATAATACATACATACATTTTCACAATCTTTCATCATAAGCGTATCGTCAACTATGAAATGGTAAATCATAGTGACAGCACTTTAGCACTTGTTTTGTTCAAACGCCGTCATAGCCACCTTACACTGACTGAACTTATATGGCAATAGCATATTATTTGTTATTGCCAAATGTTTAAAAGGAAATAATTCAAAAGGTAAAAATATTAGGCATATACAACCTTGTATAAAATTGCCTTAATTTTTAATGCTAAATATGACATTATAAAAATAGGCATTTAACAAAAAGTTTTTTGGCAATTTTTTTTAATTTTATTTTTAATCTTATTTTTCACGTGCCCTACATTAATACGTATCGAAATTTCTTTTGCAATCCGCTATTCGAATCCATTGTCTACAACAAAACTTACTGAACTGAAACAATAAATGATTCCAAATGAAGAAATTGCAGATATTTTCCGTCTCGCAAACTTCATTTTTCGCATATACAATTAAAAATGTCTAAAACGGTTAGTCTTAGGTATAAGACTTTATAAACAAAATATGTGTTGAATTTTATATAGAATTCAAAAATAAAGTAATATACCAGGTGTTCTATTTAAAATAAGAAAGTTTTTACTTGCCCTCGAAAAGTGAAATACCCTGTATACACAACATTCAAATAAATTGAAGATTTGTAATTACAATTAACTTTTGTATATAACTTTTAGCTCCATCCCCTATGGTTTCTTAGATAAGGTAGTGTCCCAAGATAAACGGCCTACCCTGTACATTGCTATGCGCATCAGCTAAATTTTATTATGTACGTGTATTTTTTGGAAATGTACAAGACATTCCTGGCTTTTTTAGTAATTCGCCCCAACGAGTGGGAGTGCTAAGCAAGATTTTGAACAGGAAGATCCACAACTTGTAGGAAAGTTAATATCAGTACGAAAATAGGACCTGCCCATCAGCTAAATGATCCAATTGCAACGGAGAAAAATTGAACCCATTCTGGTAAAAGACGCTATTGACAACTTTGGGGGCAGCAGTTCAAAATAATATTGATAACATCGGTGAAGCATCGGATATAGTAAGTAATGAGTCACCAACAGAAAAACGCCGATGTCCATCTAACAGCAGATTTGATCACCGGATTTCGGCTTTAGAGGTGGAATTTATGCAAAAATCGATTGTATTTTAAAGAACATCTAGTAGTGGCGTCACTTTTCTATTCGGAATACTTTGGAGACTATTGCAGTAAATTTCCTGACGATAAACTCACTTCAGCATATTTCTATAATCCCGATTACGAACTGAACTCTCTACTGTTATCTAAGAAATGATTGCAGGACATTAAATTATTAGAAATTGTGACAACTCCCATGACAACAGCAGAAACGAAGTTTTTCGACATTAAATCAAATTAATACTTTTCTGAGAAATGTAATCACCGAAGATCGTTTAACAGCTTACCTCTGAAATAGAAAATGTTTATGACAAAGTGATTACAAAATTTATGACCCTAAGAGACCTTAGTATAAACTTAACTTATAATAGTTTATAATATAGGTATAAGGAATATTTTCCAGAGCATATGTCAATGCGAGTCTCACGGCATAAATTGGAATTTTATAATTTATTTATATTGTTCATGTCATTTAAAAAAATGCATTTCCTTTAAATAACAGTAAAGTACTGCTTAGTGCATCTGCAGATGTCTCTTTTTTTGTGTAACAATCAGTAAACGTTAAATAAATCCATCATTTCATAATGGAAGTGGCAGAAAGCACGATAAAAGATTCATAAATGCTAACCGCAGTGTTGTCAGATTTACCACTATTAATAAAAAAATCTTAACATTACACAATTTCGGAGGTTTTTGAACATAGGAAACTTCAGAAGCGTGTCAGTGAAAGATTACCTGAATTGTAAATATCATCGCTAAACCTGACACATCGCATTTTTGACTTCTGTACAAGAACCCCCAAGTATTGAAATTTATCATTCCGGCTTTGCCAGTTTTGGAGATATTTATGAGTTACTGTACTTTTTACTGAAAAAGTGGTGTTGCCACAACTGTGTAATTAATAAAAACCAAATATTGAAATTATTAGTCCTTACTAAATTCGACATATCTAATTCATTGCAACTAAAAAAAATAGGACATTCCATTTAAAATGATACAATTATGATGTGTTACGTAAAAGTAGTAAATCTGACAACATTGCATTTGCGTTTTGAAAACCCCCAGATACTCAATTTTATCGTTCCGATATACTATTTTTATAGACACGAATCACATCACTTTCACCACATTTCATTTCCTTTTCTCAATGCTGTTCCCAAACAAAAATTAATGTGATACAACCATACACGAAATGAAATTACTTCAAAAACAGTTTGCAAATTGGAACAAAATCGCATATGGTTTTAAATCCTTTTTCATGTTGTAATTAAAGCAAGTCTATGCATTACATAGTTCTGTGGGTCTTGTACTAGAGCCATGTTCATAATCAAACAAATCAAACTTATTGTTAAAAAGAAAAACTCAACACTGCATTGAACCGTTATTATACCCAAATTTTCTTTCTTTGTATAATAAAAATATTTCGTATCAAGTTATCTCTTGTCCAAAATATGATGGCATATTTAAAAACAGATTCGAAATTGGCGAATAACTCGCATACCATAGCAAATAGGGTTTTTTGATAATGTTTTATATGGGATGATCAATCAAGATTTTCACCCATACAAACGCCTTCAAGTACTTAATGCTAAACACAAGTATATTGGTGTACACCTTCAATATTAAACCTGAAATTATTCTAATCTATTCCAATCATGAAGTAAATATCGTCTGCATATTTAATGATGTGTTTGTTTTCACCATAATGTGCTGCCCAAGTCTAACTCTTCTATTATCTTCTGTTACTCTTGCAATCTGCTTCCAATTTCGCAAATAGGATATTAATTATTTTTTGCATGTCCACACTATTCCAATTTAATTCATTATCTAGACAACAATACGCCTTAGGTACGTCTAAAAACATTCAAAAATAAGTAATCTGTATCACCAGATAAGTGATTACATGTGCTTAAAACCAGTGCAGATGGCTGTAACTTATTAAAAGCGGTTGAAACCGGATAAATTAAAAACACCAACCGTCATTTATTAAAACTTGACACTTGAGTAATAATATGGAGACGAGTGGCATGCTATTTTGATTTTCTTTTTGCCGAAAATAACATGGTCTTGGGTACTTTCGTAAAATGAATTTAATTTTATTGTGTGAAGATCTTTCACATCTTTGCGAACTTCAAAGTTACGGCAAACTTGGATAAATTCAAAAATTTTTAGAAATAATAGCGATTCTCAATTATATTTTTTTAAATATCTGGCGCACCCTGAATCATAGACGAAACTTGAGACTCTTTCTCGATGCTGTTAAACCAAATTATCTCATGTTTTATAGTTTTTCATTTACAGCTAATAATTTACCCACGAAAACGGCAATTTTCAGGATCTCTTTGTTTTTTTACCCTGTACATAATCCAAAAAATATCGCAAGTAAAATTTATAGCCCTAGATTTCCCACGTTTTCCGGTATGTGAATTTTTTCAATAGGATAAATAGTTTTCGAGAAAATGCCTCTTTTCTGAAACCATGCAGTACACAGTAATGACGTCATCCCGTCTAGATTGAGTGCGATTTTCAAATGGATTTTTTCAAATATCTAGAGCAGCGTACATGACAGACGAAAATCGTAAATACAAAAATTGTAGCTATTGCCACAGCCTATAACACCATTCGAACAGATTAATAATGATATTAATACTCCCTAAAAGAACAATTTTCAGGGTCTTTCAAATTTTCGTCCATAACGAAAACACCTTGTATACAATCGAAAAAATGCGTGAAACAAAAGTTATAGCGCCGGATCTCCCACGTATTACAGTTGTAATATTTTTCTGATCGGATCGGTTTTGGAGGAAAATATGTTTTTTCTGGAAGCCAAAATAACCAACAAAAATTCAAAAATTAAAAAAAAACTTCTTGTTATTTTATTGCTCCCAGTTTAAAGAGTCTAAATGCGGGTCCGGACTTCTACTTCTCTCCCAAGTCTGAAGTCGGTAGCTGCAAATTTGGGGCACGGATTTTAAATTATTGCCAATTTTCTAAAATGGGGGGGGGCCATTTCAGTTTTCTTTAATTTGCGGCTGGTATATTTTTGAAAAATTGTCAAGAATAAAAGTTTATGGAGCCGTATTAGTCTAGTTCAAGAATTTTTTCGATCCTGTAAATGGTTTTTGAAAAATTCGACTTTTCGAAAGTAACAAGTTTCCTTGACCTTCAAAACGTTTATCTTATTTTAGAATGTAGGACCCATTGAGGTTAATTATTCTATAAATAGAAATTTCACTCTCGCACAGTCCCTAATTGGTTATAAAAATATTAATAAATAGTACCTTGGAGTAAATATACATTCTTCTTTGCTTTATGAATGAATCTCTCTTCGTCCAGCGCTCCCAGAGGCGCTGCACCGCATAGAACTACTTTCAAAGATCTGAAGTATTCTTCCTTCACTGACGGATTTTCGCTCAAAAATAAAACTGCAAAGGAAACATTGAAATAATAATTGAACTATAAAATATACAGCATAACAAATTGGAATTCGATTAAATGAAAAACAAGATATTATGTCTGAAGGAACCGGAAGACAAAAACTTACGTAACGGGGGTGCCACAAACAACATTGACACATCGTTATTTCTCAGAACATCAACGTACAATTCCGGAGTGAACTTTGGTAACGTAATAACTTTCACCCCATTGACCAACATATTCAACGTCGTAACTGTGAAGCCGTATATGTGAAACATAGGAAGAACGGCCGGTGTTACTTCTTGAAAGCTATCTACAAAAATAACGGTCACAATTTTCCATCTCAAATATTTCATCCTCGTACCTGTTGTCTGTTCCATAAAGTTTATCTCTGGGACATTAAATTGCGCTAAATTTGATACTATGTTGGAATGGGACAGTTCCACTCCTTTGGGAAGCCCAGTCGTTCCACTAGAATAGGGTAGAAAAGCCAAGTCACTGGCTTCTGCATTTTCAAAATCCGGGATGTCGATTACATTGTTCGCGAATTCATTGAAATTTATCGCGCCTTGCGGCAGAGACTGACCAGACTAAAATAATTTCAATTTAATTTGCAAATCTTTTGCTCAAATGTGGTTATCAGAGTAAAATCTTTGAACTTCGCTGTTATTCAAAATTAAACTCCAAGAAGTAATTCAGTTATGAGAAAAACAAAACCTTTGCTTACTAAGTTCAATCAACCTTATTAAGTGCAAATGGATCTAAAAAAACGCAACTTTTATTCTGGTAGAGTTGCGCTGTGTTATAAAAACAAATTTATACGAATATCAAAGTAGTCAAAAATTTTTGTTTAATTTTTGAAGATATCGAAGAATACTAATGAAAGTCCCTTCCAAACAGATGCAACGATAGGTTTTTAAAACGCTATTGAAGTTTATCACAGAATACTAATAGTAGCAAAATATAATTTTATTACCCTTTTAAAAAATCAGCGTGGAACATAATGACATAACAATATTAAACATAGGAAATACTATGTATTACTATGTATTGAAGAAATTAATGAAGCAATAAAAATCGAAAAGTAATATACAAATACTATAAGAAAAACATATGTTCACACCGGAAAAACAGTCGTTTAATTTACAATTCACTAGTCGATTAGTCGAACTTGATGTCAAAAAATAGATCAAAATCAAATTATAAATTCGAGAACTGTACAACCGAAACGAACCTTGATCGTAGTCCATCATTTTTGAATTTTGGACCTAGTATCTAATCACAAAAAAATATATGTAACAAGTATCATTGAGCTCGTATTCCTTTCCGATGTCTATCTCATTTTCGCATTTCCCATTGTTAATAAGTTGAGTCATTCATTTATCATCGACTTCTGATTGAATTGATAGGTACAGAATGTCTAGTTACAAATCCCTATATATAGGCTTCATCCAAAGTTTAAAAAAAAAATTACAAAAGAATTTTTTCTGAATTCTGTCTGTTAAATAGATGAAGATCGAGAAAAAAGAAAAAATCCAAAAAATACCCAGCTTTTATTATAAAAAATTATTTCCTATAAACACACGCACACACACACACACACGCTCACACACACACGCCCACACACACACTCCCACACACACACACACACACACACACACACACACTCACACACACACACTCACACACACACACACACACACACACACACACACATACACACACATACACATACACACACACACACACACACACACACACACACACACACACACACACACACACACACACACACACACACACACACACACACACACACACACCACGGCGTGAAGATCACTGATTAAACAGTTTCGAAAAACGATTCTTATTATTTATTTCTTATTTATTATTTTAAGACTGAAACTATAAATCCAACAGATTACGATGTTGGAACTATAAACCCTAAGCATTGTCACTGTACTACTAATAAAATGGTAGAAAAATATATATTTCAGAAAAAATACATTTTCCACAATTTTTATTTACTAAATTTTATTATGACCCAATTGGATCGTTCATAATGTTAGCTTATCGACATTTACGATTTCATATGCACAAAGAACTGAAATGGTCGAAAGGAATTTCTGATGTTAAGCATAGTTTTGGTTAGTCTCAATATCTCAATATCTATATCCTAACCTAAAAGATGCAAAAAAAGAAATTAACGTTCAATTAAAGCTGGATTTTGGAAAAAAAATCTATTTTATGGGTTGTTATTAAGGTCAAATTTTCCAGAATTTCCAAATAAACAAAAAAATCATTATTTAGCATACCAAACGATATTATTTAAAACCAAAATATGTTTTTTTATTTTTACTTTTTTTTTTTTAATTTTAAAACTATCCAGTAGATGAAAATATTACATTTCAATACTTATTGTATTTAAGTGTTAAAACGTGTATTGAAATAATCAGTATTATTCTATTATAAAATTTATTATAACCAATACTATTCTACTTCTGAATTCCTAGTGCGTCGGTTTTTGTTGAGTCGAACTTGCTAACGTTGTTTGCAGAATCGGAAACCTATCTCAGTCCGAGTCACTGAACCCAGAATTTAACACCTTACCTCTGCTCTTCTCTATAATAAATTCCACATTAAAGATATTAAGGGTTCCATCACAAAATCCACTTCACCACAACCTTCCAATAGCAATGAGACCGAAAGCAATCCTACACTTGCCGCTCACATCCCTGACCGCATATCAAAAGTTGCCCAAAGATCTCTCAACCTCTTCGATTCGTCAAAGACAAAGTCCATTTGACATGCCAGGAGTTTACAGCATTTCGTGCATATGCGGTAAAGAATACATTGGAGACGAAAAATATCGATTAGGCTCAAAGAACTTGAAAGAACTATTAACGAAACTGGACATAAACTTTTATTCGATAAAACTATTCTATTCTTCTACCAACGAAAAGTCCAAGAGTCTATAGAAATCTGTAAGTAACCTAACAATCTTAACCGCGACTCAGGTCTTTATCTATCACCAATATGGGAATCAGTCATCCGAGACGGAGTTTATGCCCCTCATTTAGCTCCACCCCACCCCCCGCTCTTAAACAAAATATATAAGTAGGTACCGACTCAAGAGAAATCTAGAAATTTTGTAAAAAGTATTACAGTAACCTGTGGAAGTTTCTATGAAAAATTAACAAATAGTAACATGTTATTTTGATTTGAAATGTTTTACAAAATCAAACGTTTCTTTGAGTGCTAATTTTTTTTATTCATATTTTAATTTAAATATATTGAGAAATAACTTTTTCGGTGCTGCAGAGATAGAGCAAAAAAAGTTAATTTTAAAATCCTTTGTAGAAACCGGTGATGGGGTGAAATGATTTAACTTGTTCAATATTTTTTTCAATGTTATTCTAAATATGCTATTAATCTAGTCGCTTACTACCTTTTCAATGTTTTAAACTCGATTATACGTTACTCCTATTCACCTGATAAAAAAATAAATACAATTTAAAATTTTTTCGATATATAAGGAATAATTATTGTGATTGCAGTGAAATCGCTATTTTTATGGTATTGAATATTTAGTCACAATTTTCTCGTACAGTATGGCAATTACTTTGAACACTAACTATTTTTTCTTTGTAATATTCAACTTCACCACAGTCAGAAACGAAACGGTAAGTTTTCACAAAAACGAAGCTTATTAATGTAATATGAGATTTGATCGTCGCTGAAACTGAGCGTATGGTACAAAATTTGTGACGTACCTGAGTGTTGATGCAGATGATAGGCAGCTTCTTTTGTAGTTTTTCTATCGCCACGGTTACGTTTTCATACATTTCGGGAATTGTTATCACCGCTTTTGTCGAGGAATCTTTTAATTGTCTAGATATTTCATCTGTAATATCATTAGGAAAAAATTAAATTGGAATAATTGGAAAGGAACAAAACCGTTTTAGTTTTAGCAAAATATAACGATATAAAATGAAAGATTATTTACCTACGATAACAATATAACCATAATTTTTATCAAAACTGTCAATGCCAATGCAATAATTTGACTCTCAAATCGAAATGACATCGCTCGTTGCACTCGATATACGGAAAAATACAGTATAAATTTCATTGAATTACCTGGTGTGTATAATGCATTTATAGTGGTAACTACCAAACCTGCTTCCAAACATCCCAACGTAGCTATGGGAAATTCGGGAATGTTAGGAATATACAGAGCGACAGTGTCTCTTTTCTGAAGCTTTAATTTTTTCCGCAACGCTTTGCTCAAATTCCTACATTTCGTTCTGACTTCTCCAAACGTGTAGTTTCTCTTCGTGATCGAACATTCCTATGAAGTCAAAAGATGAAAACATAGTAATTGTTTCACTTCTTTCTTTATAGTGCTACCCATAGACTTTTCTCAAAACCTATAACACTAATCAAGTTTAAATACAAAAATTATTTATGTTTTTATTATACAGGGTGTCCCAATTCTTCGGTATCAACATAAACCTTGGAGTTTTAAATGGAACACCCTATATTTTATTACGTTTTTGGAGTTAGTGGTAAAAACCAAGGCGGACCTATTTGATTTCCTCATGGTTTAAAAAATGGTCAACGTTATGCACAAGTTCAAAGTACAAGATCTAGGTTTAATGAATTTTCGTGATTTTGTAGTCTAGAGTTATACCGAGTGTCTTTTTTTACTGTATGAGAATCGAAATTTGTAAATGCCAAAACGTCATTTATTAATTATACCTAAAGTAGAACGCGTATACCTTCTATACCTATTTACAGCGTGTCTTCAGAAGTTCTTGCCAAATGGGAAAGTTCTTTGTTATTAAAAGTGCCTTTTCCTAAAAAGTCCTGCTTGGTGAGAAAATAAATTTAAACACAGATATTTATATACTAGACATATTAAAATGTACCGGGTTTAAAACCGACAAAAGACGTTGGCTATATCTCTAAAACTAACAGTGGTGGAGAGGTGCGGAAAACATTTATTTCAGAACTAACTAAAGATGGCTAAAGCGTGTGTCATTTTACAACAGAGGTAAATTCGAATCTCTTTTGTAAAAACCTTTTTACTCTATGTCTTTACGGAAAGTGCAGTGATCAAAAGTATTTCGAAACGAATGTTTGCGGTATTTTAAATATTCAAATAATGGCTACATATTTTTTGGCCGAAATATTGCTAGTGAGGTTAACTTAAATTTCCTAAGACTCGAAGTTTTTGATTTTATTAACAGTTTCTTTGATATGAGCATGATGGAACTCCTTGTCGAACATTTGGACAGAACTTCCACACAGATGGATAGGGCGCCGTTGAGAAGTACTCTGGCCACCTAGGTCACCGGACGTTACACCCCTAGATTTTAGCACAAATCATTTCGTTATACTGATCAGTTGGAAGAAATTGTGACGCTATGTATCCGGAAAATTAATCCTGATATGATCAGAAAAGCTGTATCAGAATTCTCGTGAAGGACAATATTTATTATTTGAAAAAGGCATGTAGAGCCCAAAATTTCTGATTCATTTAAATTCAGTTGTTATTGGCAAATTAACTATTCACCCAATCATATAAATTAGAGCATTTAAATTTGAAAAGTATTTTTATCTAGCATAAAAATAATTTAGTAGTGTTTTTGTTAAGTTAATCTTTCTTGTTATGACACATTCCTCACCTCTTTACAGTTTTCGTTAATTTTAAACCACATACTTTTTGAAACTAACTTACAAATATTGCTGTGCAAGTTTATTTTTTCACCAAGCAGAATACGCAAAAAAAGGCGCCCTACTAAAAATACAAAATACAAGGTATGTCATTAAATAAAATGAGATCCTTGTATTTACAAATTTTGAAACTCACACAGTACAATCCGATCTAATTATAGATTCGAAAATCAGGAAAATTCCTTAAACCTATATCTCGTTGTGTACGTCCCTTTTGCAACTATTTATAGTTGTCCTAACATCTTAATTCCCTGATTTTTGATGACAAGTCACATGACCTTAAATATAATCTAAACCGTACCGAAATCAAATAATCACATTCAAAAAAGCAATAAAATATAGGGTGTTCCCTTTTAAATTGGAAAGTTGATGTACATACCGAAAAATTGGGGCGCCGTGTAAGTCAACTTTAAAAAATATGAAGTAAAAACCTAAACTTATTAGTATATTATTTTATTATATATGAAGGGTGTTTCTGTTTTCGTATAACAAGTTACAATTTTCTTATTTTATATAGAATACTCTGTAATTTCTGCAACTTAAGTTTTTCAGTTAATTAATTAATAATTAATTAATTAATTAATTTTTAAATCAAGTTCGAAATTTATTTTAGTAAGTTAGGTTTACAGGTCTAATTAAATCTCTCTATTTTACTTTTGTTATAAGAGAAAAGTACACTTGATTGATATCACTAAGATGAACCGTTTTCGGGATGAATGGATTTAAGGAATACACTTTGAATTGATAAGATTATTATTTAGTTCTCAGTTTGACATTTATTTTGTCTTTTGTTCTTTTTTTTTTAATTTGGTTTTTTATGGAGCAATAGATAATTAGGAGATATTCATTCTATTTAGGGTTATTGCAGTGGTAATACTTGTGTCGCTGTACGGGAGTACAAAAAAACGACAACCACATCGGGGAATATTTTCATTTTCACATTTCAACATACGTGGAAGAACGTATGGATTGTTCACTCGATCTTAGGAGCAGCCTTATGAGAAATTATGATTAAACAGAAGTTCGGAAAATCTTTAAATAGCATTCAGACAGCTAGCATATATTTATAGAACAATTGACATCGATATTTCTCTATAAATTACTATGAAAAAAGAAGTTTCGTAGTATTTTCCAGTTTTAATAATAATAGTATCTAATGTAAGTAAGTGCGGTAAACGGTATTTGAATTACGAGTTTATTTGACACGAGCGGAGCGAGTGTTTAAATAAACGAGTGATTTAAAAGTTTGCCGAATGTTTTGCATACTACGAATACATTCGCTGACTGAGAATTGACAAACGTCAAAATTCAAGGCGTGGGAAATATCTCCGAAAACATCCGATCACTGCCAAACGCGTGCGGTAAAATGCCGGAAATGTCCGAAGTGACTCGGATCCGTGGGAAACGAAATTGACGTGGTAAAGCGACGCTTCCCGCAATCTAGATCGGTGTGTAATTAGGTATTTTACAGACAGGAGTACAAAAACTTATTTTTAGCTTAGTAGAATGGCCCAAATGTAAGGACAACATCGTTGCCACTATCTAAAAGAACAAAATTTAAATTAATGTGTGTAATTCTATTTATGCCACAGAAGTAGATTGTCCACCAGAGTTATTAAGGCGAATCAATGTGACTGGAAACGAAATTAGGTACAATCGCTAGAATAAGATCGCGACTATATGCACTCAAAGTAATAAAAATATGAACTTTATGTAAATTAGTGATTTGTCATTGTTAGCCAATTGTTAGTCAATACGGATTTATGAATTAAACTTAATGGTTAATTTTATTTTATTTTTCATAAAAATAGCCTGCTAGTCAGTGAAAATGGACAAATAACAAACCTATCAGTTCGGTTTCCAGGCCAACTTTTCGATTTTTGATGATTATATGCTAAACAATGCATTTTTGAAATCTGTTTTCCTCGAAAACGGTCCATCAATCAAGTATACCTGTTTCTTGTAACAGAACACATCCTTTTGGAATCAGATTCGGAACGCAAAAATTACTAAAACGCTACAACTTCAAAATGTTAATAAAAAAATATTTTGAAACCCATTAATTTTAGGATCCATTGCTCGGCAAGGGGGCGCTGGTGTATATATGTTTATATAGAAAACCAGGGCTTATTTTGGTACACTCTGTATACTTGCTTTACATTATCATATAAATTTTAAACAATCCGTTTATCACACAATGAGGTTGTATTTATGTACTTTTGCCGATAACAGTAACCCAAGTAACATGTTTTATAAGTTGTGGTCGAGCATACGTCAGTGGGACTACTTTACATCGACTTTTGAACAATATTATTCTTCTATTAATTATTGGACCATGAAAGATTGCTTTATTCGAAACTATCTTAAGTTCATCATCATCGTAAGGTTGATTACCCCAGACCATAGAATTTTCACGATTTAACCAGATTATATGGTTACTTACAAAAGCGATGTACTTTGAAAATTGTTCCATCCGTTGAAAAACGTATTCCGGTATAGTTTGTTTTGGTATTTCTACATCTCTTCGGGGCGATTTAAGGATCTTTGTTCCACTTTCATTTGGGGACACACTCAAACCTCTCGCGGCGTTGAAAGTCCTGAATAGTTTGTTTCCATTCACTAGCACGTTTCGCATCGGATTAGTAGACATTCTGGTGCTAGCTGCCGCCCGAATTCAAGCGGGAATACTGCTCAGCTGAGTGCCTGAATTGTTTGCAAACGCTATTTAGTCGTACCTGCGCACAACGCTTGCTGATTGTAAATGTTGCAGGACCGCTTTCGTTTCGTTTTAGAACCAAATGCGACACTGACGATAATTGGTCGAGTTTAAATGCTTAGGTACTGCGTTCAAGTTATTATCGAAACTGATAAGTGGAGTTTTTTCACGTTTAATAATGATTAGGGCTTTTTAATAATTTTATGTAATGTTTAAACCTACGTAGGTACGGGAATTTTAAATTATTAAAATCATAGAATGGGATTTGAATCGCTGTAGTAGTTTGTAGTTAATCTTCCGAAATTTTTTGTACTCAGTTTTCTTCTCTCGGGTTTGTACTCGTAATAAAAAATGCTATTTAATACATGGTATAGTTTTTTCACCGACAAAAAAAAGTTGATGATAATTTCGCCGAAACAAAAAGTCGTACTTAAAATCTGTCATCGTTATCTTCTAGAGCTCAAAAATTCTCAAAAGGAAAGTGACCCTATTTTTTTATATCTCTTTAAATAACACCAGAAACAAATAAAAACGAAATCAGCAAATTTCAACAGCACGTTATATTAACCTTTACATTTTGCAACTTTTTTCTAATTTACAAATAATAATAATAATATAAATAATTTGATTTTGTTTAGATTTCTTCACATCTTAATTTACATTTTCTAACAAACAATAGTATATCATGCAACAAGTGCGGTAAAGGGCATTGGACTCACGAGTTTATTTGACACGAGCGGACCGCAGCAGAGAGAGTGTTTAATAAACGAGTGACTTAAAAAGTTTACCGAACGTGTTGCATACTATACTTTTTCTAGGACCGTTAGTTTTTGGGTACATTTTCGCAAGAATTGATAAACGTCAAATTCAATGCGTGGGAAATATCTCCGAAATCATCTGATTGCTCCCAAACCCGTGCGGTAAAATCCCGGAAATGTCCAAAGTGGCTTGGATCCGTGGGAAATAAAACTGACGTGGTAAAGTGACGCTTCCCGCACGCTAGATCGGTAGGTAATTAGGTATTTTACAGACGGGAGTAGAAAAAAAATTTGGAAATCTAATTGTATCAATTAAACTGTTGAAACATTTAGATACTGGATTAACAGGATTGGAACCTGCGCGCTTTTTTTTGTTGTGATAAATCTGGGTATATATATTTATGATTTAAAGAGTGTAAAAATGATAAATATATAAAATAAGTGACTTAAAAGGTTTTCCGAATGTGTTGAGTACTATACTTTTTCTACGATCGTTAGATTTTGGGTACATTTTCTCAAAACATTCACTGACATGACCGTCAGAATTGACACAAGTCAAAATTCAAAGCGTGGGAGATATTTCCGAAAACATCTGATTGCTCCCAAACTTGTGCGGTAAAATCCCGGAAATGACCGATGTGGCTCGGATCCGTGGGAAACGAAACTGACGTGGTAAAGTGACGCTTCCCGCATGCTAGATCGGTGTGTAATTAGGTATTTTACAGACGGCAGTAAAAGAAATATTTTTCATAATTTGCACTAGGTCAAATTTCGTAGGAATTATTACCACAACGATTCAACAAATTCATCATGGATAAACTTGTTTCTTTTAGGTATTCGTGAGACCATTTCAATTAATTTAAATAATTAAAAAGTGCTAAGCTAATTAGGTACACATGCAAACAAACTTTCTGTTTCTAGAAACCGCTTTATTTTAGGAAAAAAATTGATTACTGGTTAACCAAAAATAAGTTTATCTATGGTATAAATTTGTTTATAAGTTGCAATAATATCTACTAAGTTTGAAAACAAAACTAGAAAAGATTTTTTTTTAAATAAAAAAAAATGTTGGCTATATTTCAATACCATAAGTTTATATGAGCTGTTACATTGTTTTTTAAAATATACTGTATAGCAAAAACACGAATTTATGTGAATCATGATTGTAATTAATATAATTAATATAATAATAAATAAAATAATAATTAATATAATAACTAATATTAATAATAATAAAATAAGTTGATTTAATATTTTCATTTTTTAATTTTTTTAAATTGCTCGCACTTGCCTCCCTAGAATGAAAAATTTATTCCATAACAAATTTATTAACTGGAATTTACTTACTTTTTTCAGAAAAGAACTTTGGATCTGGCCGGAAACTAGAAAAATTAAGTCACTATTATTGCTTATTATTATTATTATTATTATTATTATCTGCTATTACAGTAGAACAGAGAACTTTTCTATAAAGATGCTGCTACAATGACAATTAGTAGCGAGCTTCTGGGAAAACTCCAAAGTGAGCAAAACTGTCCGAAAGTTTGCTAGTGCCTTATGATCCAATGTTTTTTTTTCGAAGCCCACACCATTTAATCTCTTCGGAAATGAAGTGTTTTTTAAAAATTTGGATCAGTTAATTCAACGATTTTTGCAAAACAGTAATCGTTTTCGTATAATTTTTGGACCCTGAAGTTATTAGAATTGATTTCGAATCAATTGAAGTCAGAGGTTTGACTCTGTGGGTAGTATATTTACAGATGGTCGCGAAATTGGTAGGTATTCATAAAAAAAGAGGCTTTCTTCGATGGGTATGTGTAGATAGCTGTATACCGAGTTAGTAAAAAGTACCCGAACCATTAAATATCTCCAAAACTACGAAAGCAAAGCGATAAAATTCAATATCTGGGGGTTTTTGAACATAAGGAATTCAAAAATGCTAACCGCAATGTTGTCAGATTTCTAAAGATTACTATGTTCAAAAACCGCAAAAGGCATTTCATTGTGTTACCTGTTTTCTGTAGTGTGACTGGTTTACGGATGGAGAGTAAAAGTCTTATATTATTTCAATTGTTACTCAAGTATATCATTTTTAAAAATGAAACAAGACGAATTCAACGATATATATCTTTATAAATCTATAAATTTTGTTAAGTTGCACATTAACTTTTAAAACATTTTTCTACATAATATAGTTTGAAAAATATTACTCGAAAAATATTCGAAATTGAAATATTTTTATCAAATACTGGGTGTTGCGATGTTTTGCAAAATGTTACTACTCTCATTTTTTTTTAAATCAAACGTCCTGTATATTTTGCCATTTTCGGATAGCTCTTTAAAATACGACTCCAACGATATATGTCAACATCGGCCTTCGATGCACCGTTTCGAATTTATGGACAATTTTTATCAATCACTGGAGCTCCGAAAATGAACTTTGTGAATTTGAGACAAATAAATAAGGTAGAAGGAGAGATGGGTTAAAGTGTGATGCGGTATTTGAAGGGATAGAATTTCGCGCGAATTGTTGAAAAAAAAATGATAGTAGTACGATTTTTAGGTTTATCATGAAATAATATTGAGATGACGCTCCTTATAATCGTGCTGATATCAGTGAATATTTAAATGGAAATTTTAGACAACGAATTGGACAAAATGAAACCATCTGGCCAGCGAGGAGCCCTGATTTAAACCCACTTCCTTTCTTTTTGTGGGGCACTTTAAAAGGGATAGTATACAAAAATAAGCTCATAGAAGTTTTTGCATTACAACAACAAATTCGGGATGCAATTAACATGTGGAAATTTTAATATAAATATATCATATATATACTTTTGAAAAGTTTTACAAATGCTACTGTTTTAAAAATAAAATAATCAGTTAATTTTACAGTATTATACATAAATGTTTATCGAAATAATTATTTTATAAAAAAAGGTTAGACGCGCTTTCAAAATTAATGTTAATTGTGTTAATTGATCAAAATTATCAACACATTCAAAACCAAGCATCGTAGACCAATGTTCATATATATCATAAATGTAGAAATATACAAGGTTTTAAAAGGTAATATGCAATCTAACAAAAATCTTTCCAACATAACTTAAATCCCGAGGATATTCGCTAATAACGATGCATTAGAGACCGAAGTATAGATATTTATGTATGAGCCGTTTATTTTGAAAGTGGCTTAAGACCATTTTCATCTTTTATCAAGTTGGCACTTGTGACATTTATAATTTATGCGGAACTATCAAAAAAAATAAATCGCTATTGAAATATGCTTAGTACATTTGAAAATTTTAAATCACGTACATTTTCAAAATAATATGAATACTGAAAATCCTAATTTTGAAAATAACTTAAGCCCACTTTTTATTCAAGATGTCAAAAAGTGCGGCCCAAAATGTTGAAAGCAGGGATGAAGGTAATTTAAATTACGTTTTGATATTAAAATGAAATTTAAAAAATATTATTGAATTTTTCTTCAACAGAGGAAGAGGAAGTAATTGAGAATGAGAATTTACAGCACCTTCAAAGAAGAATTCAGAGAACTCAGAAGTGGTCCCCCAAAATTCAGAAAATTCGTAAAATTAAACGGAATTCAGGGAAAAGATGCGATACACAATCGGGAAAAATTATTCCTGCCAAAGTTTTTCAAAATGAAGATTCCCAATGTCGAAAAGACTGTTTGAAAAATTTTAATGAAACAGAAAGAAAACGTATTTTCGAAATGTTTTGGAACTTAGGAGACTTTAATAAGCAAAATATATTGCTTAAGTCGTCAGAGAAACGAAAAAGGCTCATGTAGAAATGAAAGTTTTACGTATTGGTTAAATTCTAAAACAGACAAAGTTGTTGTTTGTAAAAAAATCTTTTTAGATACTTTTTAAATAAGCGAAGGACGATTGAAACGTGTATTGAAATCTAGAAACATTGGCAACGATTTACGTGGGCGTTTGCCTGGATCGTCGAGAAAAATATGCGATGAAGCAAATATGATTGTTCAAAACCATATTAACAGTTTCCCGAAAATTGAATCCCATTATACTAGGGACAGAAAATATCTTCATCCTGAAATGACTATAAAAAAAATGTTTAATTTTTATGAGCTTCACTGTGAAGAAAATAACCAACCGCGCAAAGACACATGTCAAAGATGTGATCTATTAAACATTAAAATCAAAGCATCAGAAAACCATGAAGATCAGAAAAAACTTATGGAAGAACATGATATTTATTTGAAGCTAGCAGAATCGGCTAGAAATGCGTTAAAACAAGATCAAGAGCGAGTATCAAGTAATCGGTCTCATTATTTTGGCTTTTCATTCGATTTGCAGAAAGCGTTACCATTCGTAAAGTTAACTACTTCATTAGCTTATTATAAATGTAACATGTATATTTTTAATTTAGGCATACACAATTTTCACAACGATAATGTACACATGTACGTTTGCGATGAAATAAAAGCTTCTAGAGGTTCCCAAGAAGTATGTGGAGGACAAAACAGAAACATCAAAATATCGTTAATATGGTTAAACATTCTATCGATGGGAAATGATGTCGAAATCATAGACCACAAATTTTTAATATCGGGGAATTCATTTTTACCTAATTACAGAGATTTTGGCGTTATAGAAATGTTGTTAAAAAGAAATTAGTGCCACATAATTATTATAATATAATTAAAAAATGTAATACTTTCATACTAAATGAAATGAAACAAGAGGACTTTATGTCAACAAGAAGCAGAAGAAGAAGTTTACAAAAGATCCAAAAATACAAAGGGAGAAAAAATAAACTGGCTTCAAATATGCTGGATGCGATTTTTAAGAAATGAACCATATAAAATTTTATACAAAACAACCACGGATGAGAACGCAGAATTTAAAATTCTTGATTTATTGCCACGTCGGGGTAGACCTAAAAATTTTGGGAATATTTTATTGCCATCGTTATATAAAAGTATAAGAAGCATCACATGACTAAAATACCGACACATGATGGACTTATTGCGCTATATACTTCCGGAACACCATAACTACTTCAAATCACTCCCGCATACTGAGAATGTTAACGAATAACTTGTTACTAAATTTATTTCTATTATCTAAAAATATAATTTAAATGTTTTTTTTTTCTATTTTCTAAGTAATATGTAACGGACTTAAGCTCTTTTACTTTTTGTAACAAAACAAATTTTTATTTTGAAAGTAACCTAAGTCCTTTTAAGGTAAGCAAAGTCATATTATACACTTAATAATGGCAACTTTTTAGTAAGATGTATAAAATTAAATCCCTTAAATGCGATTTAACATTGCAAGTCATATTTTTAATTTTGTAAAAATTCAAAATTTTAGTATTCAAACTTTTTTTATAACTATAAATTTAGAGATAAGGTATAGGCCCCTCTTAAACCGGCCGCCCTGTACACTTGCACCTAGTGCTTTTCAAGAATTATCGCATGACGATAATGCACAGAATCTGTGCAGTTGACTGTAGCTGTCCTTTTCCCAGTTTATAAGCAATGCAGTGAATACCTGAGAATTGTCTGTGCTTACCCGAGCCATAGCTCGTCAAGCCCAAGATTTTTTAGTTGTAATATTGAAGTCATGGTTAATTCGGATGGCGGATATCGAAACTATTGTCTTATTCTCAATCTTCTATTTTATTCTATTCTAAATAGGCAACTAGAAAATAAATGCGTTTTGGTAGTTGCTAAAATGAGATTTTCACTGGCTTGGGATTTTTTGAGTTTTAGCGTGATTTTTCAAATAAATGGGATATGATAGTTTGTTTTATAAAAGCCTGGAAGAATGCAGATGCATTAAGCAATTTGACTAAACGTCAAAATACCGTCAGTGTTTTAAATCTACGCCAAACATCCCCTTGCTTCCAACCCGTGATTAATGTCAGTTCTGCACGCAAACGCCATACGGTGAATGTCGGTGTCTACATAAGTCGTGACTAAATTGTCGTTAACCTTAAAATTAGATTAGTTTATTTGAAAAACCTTAAGGGTAAGTACGATAAACCAATAAAAATGCTATAATAAGCAACAGGTTTTACAAAGTTAATTTTAAAGAAGACTTAGAATACATACATACAGTGCGTCATCAAAATAATGTTGTTTTCGTTTGATGCCATTAGATATACTTACAATAATGACGTGGGATTACAAATAATAATGCTATAATTTAAAGGAACGATATCAACGAATGGGCAATTTATATAATTTTCAGGAATTACCTGTGTAGAACTTTTCCAGACTTAAGCATGGGTGTTGGAGGTAAAACAAACCCCAAGAACTGGTCCCAAAAAAGCCAATAACATATGTAAATCAACTAGGTATGCCAAGTTATTTTTTTATTAAATTTAAAATTGATTGATCGTCTGTATAAACTATTTTTTTTTCTCGCTCTCAAGTCAAATGGTGCAAAAAAGCCTATTTTTACTTTTAATTTATCAATGAAAAAAATGTACAAGTGAAATCAACTTATAACGAACTTTTTCATTCAAAAACGCTGCTCGAGTATTTCTTTGCCGACAGCAAACTTAAATAATCCAAATAACTCCGACCTTCGTCTATGAAACGTTTTTTTTATGTTATTTTTTCTCTCTGTTAACCATTCCTAAGAAATGAAGGGACATATAATCCACAGCAGGAATTTAATTTGACATAGTTAAATAATGTAATAAGAGAGTAATGAGAAAATTATAATGGATGACCTTAAAGAAAAGTGAAATGAAAAACAAATTTCCAGAAACTCGATTTTTTTTATAATCGCGCCAAATTCAGTATTCTTTTGTGACTGTGAGAAGTACATAACTATTTTTCTGGCATACAAAGGACCGCTATAGATTTCTTGAAATAGATATTGGTATCATATCAATATCATATATAAATACATATTTATATATATACATATATATACCTATGGGTTTAAAAATATACACTACATAAGCACCGAGAAATCATTTGAAGTGTCCTCAAAAAGGCTTCTCGAATAGCCAATCTGACAATGAGTGACGTCAAATACCAACTGAGCCATTTTGAGTAGGTTTTCGACATTTCGAAACACTTCCAATGAACCTATAGTCGTGTTAAATTTAAAATTCCATAAAATATTTATTGTAGTTATTTTAAGAATTTTAATTGTGGATACCATTATATAATATAGGGGTCGTAAATCTGGTAAAATTAATTGAACTTTGCGGCTTTCTTTAACAGCAATCTTCACAGACTTTTCGCTTTTTCACAGAACATTTAACAAAATTTGAACATATTTAAAATAAATATAGGTGACGTAGTCTGAACATTGCAGGTTAGTGTGTGAAATTTAGGTGCATACGCCGATGTTTATTAATTTTACCGTATTTGCTATTCTTGCTATTATTATCGTATAGATATGTGTTGCATCTAAAGAACCACAAATCACAACTTATCCCCTATAAAGGGCGAATCACGTTGAGTGGCCTATTAGAAGTTCTGAGGACATAAATCATGGACTCCTAGATAAATGACAAAATTTTTTGTACAACAATCTTTTTCACTCTTATTATTATTCATTGTTGCTATCAAGGATCTCTAAAGGTTACTACGTACAAAACGTCACTGATATGAAAGGCAAAAAGCAAAAGTAAATTTATTATTTAATCATAATTGTTAAAGGAGCCAAGTTTTAAACCCGGCTCTAGGTGTAAGATTATGCAGTTGTTCCACATCTAGTGCTAGCCTCCGATTTCGTGGTTCGAGCTGTTCCCCAGGGTAGTGTTTTGGGATCATTATCTTCACCTTAATTAACAACTTTAAAGCTCAGTCCGTTTTGTTTGCAAATAGCAACGATAATTCTTTAGATAATTTAATAAGACCTCACGTGCCTTATCAAGTTCAACAAAGTTCTTGTAATCTCAAGACCTTACATTTGAATTTTCTTACCCATTCAGTGAAATTGAATTGACACCATTATTTTATCTACGTTGGCCCGCTCTTCTTCGTGGAGACAGAGAAAGTCTCCAAAAATTACAAAAGTATAAGGTTTTTTATGGATTGAGACGGTTTGATCACGTCCTTGCTTGATATTCAAATTCTTATTGGCTCACAGTGGAAACTCGATTTCGGCTGCATTTATGTACATTTATTTGTAAAACTACGCTTTCACAACAGCCCTTGTATTTATTAAGCAAGTCAGAGGCTTTAATGTTTATTATAGGCCCAGGCAGAGATATTTTCTGAATGTTCCTAGACACAGAACGGCCATGTTTTAGAGATCTTTTAGTTATAATGCAGTTGGAACATTCAAGAAAAAGTTAAAGCATCGCTTTAGTTCTGCTTTATAATACTGTAAGAAAACTAGTAATATCTTTTTACATATTTCTTCCAACACTTTTTATCACTATTTATTTTCTCAATGGCAATGTGATTTTAATGCGGTCTCCGAGATTTTTGAAAAGCAAGTCGGCGTAGTCGGATAATGTTGTACAGTGGATACGTTGGAATAGTAAATTTTAACAAAAGTTATCCAGTATTTTACGCAAAACCGGAAAACGCACGAATATACATGGCATCCATTTGAATTTTCAACGTTGTTTGTTTCAAGGTTAATCGGCAATACTGCAGGTGTGTAAAAATTTCAAAATGATAGAACATTGCACATATACCAAATTTGAAAACAAAGTCAATTAAGTTTTCCAGAACTTCTTATAAGACACTCAACGTGAATCGCCCATTTTAATATATAATTGTTAAAAGAATTTGTAAAATTCTGGGTAAAAATTAAAATAATCGTTAATCGAAAGCATTAAGAATAAAAACATAAGCTAGGAAAAAAACAATATTTACAACAAATGAGAGGACCTACAACATTTTTAGGCTGACTCGCGAATTGCATTAAAAAAAATTATCTCCTTCCTCCGTCGTACTGCATTTTGAGTTCTTTTCGCAGGATTTTCCCTGAAGCGCTTTTCGGTATCGTATGGGTTATTTCGATGCCGCCCATTAAACGCTTATACTTTGCGACTTTTTCCATAAAATAGTTGTTGAGTTCGACGGGACATAGTTTGCTGCCGTTTTTCGGTACAACGTAGGCCCTCGGTACTTCGCCGTATCTCTCATGAGGGACACCTATTACTGCCGCATCCTCAACAGCAGGATAATCCCTTAATACAGCTTCTAGTTCTGCAGGAGCCACCTATTTTATAAAATACCATGATTAGCATTAGCAGATACGTGGTGATTAAAAAAAATATGGTCCAACGCTAGTCTGGTGGTCAACGTAGGAAGGCGGATTTTGGTGAAATCCTGGCGAAAAATGGCAGAAGGAATGGCAACCTGAGTTAGGATAAAAATCTGTGTTTTTCAATATTTTTTCAGACTTCGTTTCTTATAAAAATCTTGACAGCTGCAATGGGACCTCTCTGGCAATGAATTTTTCATAAATAATACTTATATTCAATGAACTTCAAGAAAATTTGAATTTACAAATCTTACGGTAATTTGCGGAGTTGCGGGAAATTTTTTCTTCAAAAACTCTAGATTACGATAAGCAAAGTCCGCATTTTTTCTTCAGTATTTTTTTTGTACTTATTTTTTCACTTTTGCTTGAGACCACCTTATATTCAATGAGCTTTAAGAAAATTTGGATTCATTAATCTTACCGTAATTTGCGGAGTTGCGGTAATTTTTGTCTTCAAAAACACTAGATTACGATAAGCAAAGTCCGTATTTTTTCTTCGATATTTTTTTGGTACTTATTTTTTCCATCTTTTCAGCAAAAATTAATATGTTCAGAATAGAAAACCTCAGAAATTTCGAATTGTGAATAATACTACCTTTTATAAAACTTCTAGATTCCTCCTGCATCGGTTTTTGTTGACTCGAACTTGCTAACGTTCCGCCCATCATCCTGTTAGCTTTTTCAGAGCTTATCTGAAACTGAAGAGCCAACAGGATGATTGACGAAACGTCAGCAAGTTCGATTCAACAACGACCGAAGCAGGAGGAATTGAGAAGTTTTGTAAATAGTATTACAGTAGCCAGTGGAGGTTTCTTTGAAAAATTGATATAATAACACTCAGGAATTACTGGTACAATTAAAAGGTAGAAGGATAATGCCAGAAAATGTATTACTAAACTAATATGAAAAATAATTCTGCAAAAAGTAACAGTAACAATATCAAACAGAAGGTTTAGCTTTGCTCGAAGAACCTATATACTATACTAGTTACTAGTTACTAGTTTATTTTAGTCCTACTATGTTCAGCTGCTATTAGACATATTAGTAACATTCTTTATCGATTAAGCGAGGAAGGGGGTTCATTTTTCCTATTTTTTAATTTATTTTGATATAGTTTACAAATTGTGGCCATTTTGTACAATGATTGCAGTAAAATTATTAAAAAGTGTATGGTTATTAATGATCTATATTTGTTTTAATTTTAACTTATTTTTTATTCGAATTATTGGCGCTGGATTTTTTTCTGAGATTTTATCCCCATCCGCCCATGTGCAACGTAGGTCCGGAAATGCTTTGTTTTCAAGATACGTGGTGTTAAATTTTAAAAATAACGACTTTTTTACAATACGTAAAATATTTTTTGCCAGATTTTGATAAAATTTGGCTACGTCATTTATGATGACATTTGTGTTTTTTCACCCTAAAATGATGAAAATTGCCACAATGTTAAGTTGCAAGTTTCGTTTTTGATAAGTATATCAAGCACATATCACCAGTAAAATAACCATTTTTTTTTAAATAACAATAATCAATGCAAATTATATTTGAATATCAACTCCTAAAATTGCTGCTCAAATTTCTTCTATATTGTAGATTATAGGTCCTAAAACAGCAAGATATTTATATTTCGAAATTTTTATGTTTTCTAGACTGGGTATCGGTATCTCATTAGTTACTATGACATTTTTTATGTTTATATGTCTCTTCGTTAAGTGTCTTACAATAAAATATTATTTAGATTAAGACTGTGTTGAATACTTAGATTTTTACGTTAAGTCTACAATTAGGTAGAATCACAAAACCGGTTCAGAGAGGGCCAAATGAATCTCCCTAATGGTATAATATTTATATATATATATATATATATATATATATATATATATATATATATATATATATATATATATATATATATATATATATATATATATATATATATATATATATATATATATATATATATATATATATATATATATATATATATATATATATAAACCTAAGCAACTCAATTTTCAGAACAATCCCATGTCTTCTGTTTCGTAAATGTATACAGTATATTATGCAACAAGTGCGGTAAACGGCATTTAAGTCACGAGTTTATTAATGTTATTATTAATAAACTAGTGACTTCAAACGTTTACCGAACGTGTTGCATACTATACTTTTTCTACGACCGCTAGTTTTTGGGTACATTAGCGCAAAACAACACGAATACATTCACTGACTGAGAGTTGACAAACGTCAAAATTCAAGGCGTGGGCAATATCTCCGAACACATCCGATTGCTCCCAAACCCGTGCGGTAAATCCCGGAAATGTTCGAAGCTCTTATCCGTGGGAAACGAACGACGTGTTAAAGTGAAGCGTCCCGCACGCTTAATCGGTGGGCAATTAGGCATTTTACAGACAGGAGTAGAAAAAATTATTTACAGTGAATCGGCCTGTATATTAAATATCTCTCACCTCGTTGCATAAAATGTATTGCATGTGCGCGTTATACCAATTTAAGATGTTTTTATTGATACTTAATATTCTATAAACCACCGCATTACACCCTTTTTTTTTAAGCACCCTGTATACAAACATTTCAATAAACACGGTAAGATTCATTGTACGCATTACTATGAAATAGTTCATTAAATTTGCGATAAATGGTTTAAAATTCATTATAACTTTATTAGGTGAGAAAAGCGTTACCTGGAATCCACTGACTTTAATAAGCTCCTTCAATCTATCGCATACATAAAGCAATCCATCTTCATCATAATATCCGATATCGCCAGTTTTCAACCATCCATCCACAAATGCATTTTTCGTCGCTTCTGGATTATTTAAATAACCTTTCATCATTTGGGGCCCCTAAAATTACAAATTAGTAGTTTAACAATTTGTAAATATTTTAATTTAGTAAGTAAAGTAAGTAAGTAAATTACTTCCATATAATACCGACCTATCCTGATAATGAAGAACAGAAAAATTTTCAGACAAACAGGTAACCCAACAAAGAACGAAATAGCTTTTTCAATTTGCATTTTCTTAAAAAAATCTTAATGAAACTACATTTTGTCCCTACCCTGGCAAAGATTTCTCCGTTTTGATTCGGACCCAATGGAGTGCCGGTGGGGTCATCTACGGCGACAACTTTAATCTGCGTATTGGCGTGAGGAATTCCCACAGAACCCCTTGCATTCTCATTCCTCTTGCTTGCTCCTTTGGTTACTAAAGCAATCGATGGACATTCGGTTAGACCATAACCTGAAAAATCAGTAAATCAACAATTTCGATATGTTTTTTTTTAAGTTTGTACCCTGACTAATAAAAGTGTCTGGTCCAGTTTTTTTGAGGAACCGTTCTTCATCTTCTTTTGATAGTGGCGCTGCTCCAGTTAGGACAAATTTTAAACTTTTTAGGTACTCGTCCTTGACGTTTGGATAATTCGTAAGAAATGAAACTACAATATAAGAGGCGTTGGTGAAATTAAAAGCTCCAGTGCCGATAAAGAGTCTATAATTTTAATTTCAAAGTGCTTACTGAGGGGAGGAGCCACTACCATCACACTCATTCTGTGATTCCTTAACGTTGATATGAACCAATCGGGTGTAAATTTTGGAATCGTGACCACTTTGACTCCATTGGTTGACATAAATATATTCATTATGAAAAATCCAAACGAATGGTACATAGGAAGAACACCCGGTATTACTTCTTGCGTGGTTTCTAGAAATTATGAATTTTTATCAAAAAACTAAAATAGTAAAATCAACAAATAACAATCAACAGAAGTATGGAAGACTGACTGCAGTAATATATTGGACTTATTCAAACTAAACATAATTTTTAAGTTATCTTTTTTGTTTTCGCATATTGTGTGTTCAGTTTATGGATAACTGACGAACTTTCAGTACATTTAGATAAAAAAAAAACAATCAATAAAAATACACCAAGTTTTTCAACTTTTTTAATTCAAACTCAAGACTTTCAAGTCAAATGATCCTACTGAAAAGGTTATCAGTAGCATGGGGGCTACAAAGTTGCCAATTTGTTCGCAAAATTCTTCCTGAATGAATTGAATAATCAACGCTACCATATACATCTCGAAATCAGAAATGTTTTGTTTTATTCGGCGATCTCTAAGCAACTGAAATAGATTTTTCCGTTTTCCATTTTTTCTTTCACATTGCAGAGAATAGTATTTTATGCAATAAGTGCGTTAAATGGTATTTGACTCACGAGTTTATAAACGAGTGACTTAAAAAGTCTATCGAACGTGTTGCATAGTATACTTTTTCTACGACTGTTAGTTTTTGGGTACATTTTCGCGAAACAACACGAATACATTCACTGACATGGCCGCCAGTGAATTAACAAACGTCAAATTCAAGGTGTGGGAAATATATCCGAAAACATCCGATTGCTCCTAAACCCGTGCGGTAAAATCCCGGAAATGTCCGAAGTGGCTCGGATCCGTGGGAAATGAAACTGACGTGGTAAAGTGATGCTTCCCGCACGCTAGATCGGTAGGTAATTAGGTATTTTACAGTCGGGAGTAGAAAAAGCAAATTAATAGTGTGTACCGGTTGGTGGTTGGACCATCAATACGTCTGTGTGACAGAACTGACTCTGTTCTGCAACTAAGTTCCGATGAGTGAGTTCTACCCCTTTCGGAAGGCCCGTAGTGCCACTGGAATATAAAATCGTGCATACGTCGTCCATATTGCTAGGCTGAATACTCGGCATATCCAGGTCTGTACTAGTGAATTCAAAAAAATCGATTCCACCACGCGGAAGCGATTCTCCATTCTGAAATTAATAACAATTGCATCATTTCTTCCAATCCGAAAGGTACATTCAAAATCATTCGTAAAAAATTTTTAAACACACAAAAAGATAATGCTATATTTTTAATTAAATAATATATTTATATAAAAAATATTTCGAAAATAAAAACAATTGACGTAACGTTTGATAGTTGAAAACAGAATTTACTTTACACCATCAATAAAATATTAATATCAAAAAATCTGAAATTTGTTTCTTTATGGTATAAAATTGTTTAAATTTAACGTAATGTTTTCCAAAAATACATTTGCGACCTCGTACTTTTTTTAAATACTTTCTAATTTAATTTAATTTAATCAAAAAAAATCAAGTTATTTTTACTTTTGGTTTCCAATTGGGTATTTAGTTCGTATTGTTTGAATACTTTTGGTAGAACTTTGAGCTTCTTGTTAATTTGATTTTGCTTATTACAAAAATGTGATCAAAAGTTAGGCAGACGTGTTAAAATTTTTCCAGTTGCAATTTTTTTATCAGTTTGTTCAGTTATGCATTGCAAAAACTCAAAAAGCAAACTCGCATAGAATTTTCAAGGAAACTAAATATTTACATCTATGATATAACAGGAGCGGGTAGACTTACTTTGGTCTTGACACATATGACTGGTAGATCTTTTTTGATATGTTGAGCAGCCAATTTAACTTTATCGAAGTGTTCTGGCATTGTAATCACTGCTTTGGTAGAAGAACTTGCGAGTTGCCTAAATATTTCGTCTAAAAGTTGAAAAATTGAATCAGTTACTGTCAACTAAAAAACAGACGGTCCGACGCAACACACTATTACAAAAAAAAAACGTAGCGAAAACTAACCTAAACCAAAAATTTATTTCGTTCTAAAATAAAAACAATTGACAATATACAATGGGACTATTTCTTTTTTTTTTAATTTGGAAATCGAAACTAGAACACATTATACGCAATATAAGTAACAATACAAGAGTGGCGACATTCGCAATTTGCGCTCGTCCATGTAACCACAAGAACAACAGCACCAACACCATAATTGTCAAAAAAATACACACCCGTATATACATCGTAAACAGAAGAAATAGAGTCACATCATAAGTCATACGCTTTTGCTAGTTACGGGCGGGTCTAATAAACAACATTAATGCTTTTTTGAAGGACTTTATTGTAAGCGTATAGGAATTTCATTAAATAATTTAACTGCGTTATAGCTAAAAGATCTCTGGAAAGTTACCGAAGTGTGTCTAGGGATGCAATATCTTAAACAATGACGGGTGTCTCGATTATGAATATCATTTCCTCTGCAAAGTTTATCAAACAAGTACGAAGGAGTCTTATTGGAGTTTAGTAAAAAAACAAAAGTGGCTAACTGAACCATATATCGCTCCTCCAGCTTGAGCCAACCCGAATCAGAGAGGCATTCTGAAATATGGTCATACTTTCTGAGACTGTAACTAAAACGAATACAAGCATTCTGAAGTCGTTGGAATCTCTCCTTATCTCGATTAAGTGTAGCTGGCCAATAGACAATAGACACAGAGTTTAAGTTTGACTTCTTTAATGAGAAAACATTTATGAATATACAATGTCCTCAACTCATAAAAGTTTTTTTGTAACACCGAGCCAACGTGCTTAGAAAAACATAAGATAAGATAAGATTTACAAAATTTAAGAAAATTAGAGAAGTCAGCTCAGAATACTCCCCTGGGGAACACCCTTCTCCAAAGCAATGGCATTAGAACGAGTATTTCCTATAACTACCCTTTGGTATCTCTGACCAAGAAAATTAAAAAAAAAAGAAAGAGCAGTATCTAGTACAGTAGAAATGATTCAAGGTGTCGAACGCTTTGCTATAGTCCAAGAGTATGAGGCAAGAGTTTAATTTAGAATCCGCTGCTCTAAATAAATCATCAGTAACATGAAGCAAGGCAGAAAAAGTGCTGTGAAGAGGCCGAAAACCAGATTGAGTGTCTGGGAGGATTTTGTTATTGCATAGAAACTGACGAAATTGTTTAGCTGCAATTTTTTCAATAATCTTTGAGATGGTTGGTGGCAAACTGATTGGTCTAAAATCGTTAATGCTACTTCGACACTCTCTCTTTGGGACGGGTATAACTTCAGCCTGCTTCCATGAGTCAGGAAAAAACCCGGTCAGCAGACACTTGTTAACAAGGAAAGTGATATGATCGACTAAATGTGGAGTAGTCAAAAGAATAATTTTTATATCAATATTGTCTGAGACATGAGCGTTAGTTTTAATACTAATTAAACTTTTATTAACTTCCTCAGGGTAAACTTTAGCAAAACGGAATGAATTAGAACCAAATTGTTTATTAATATAATTAGAAGACACAAACCCAGAATCAATACCACCAATAGCTCCAAAAGAAGTAAGAAGGTGCCTATTAGCTATTGTGTGGTTCCTAATTGTCCCAATACTAGAAATGCTACAAGAAAACTATCCTACACGAAGGTGAGAAGAGTTTGGCAAACTGCGATGCATGGAGATGTTCTTTTATCAAACAAAACCCGTACAGGCTGTTTTGAAAACCATTTTGACTTATGTCATGCCGAATACTGTTCAATTTACTACATTTATTTATTTATTAGATGTCCAGAGTACTATTCATATTTTTATCTACCTAGGTACTTAATCTAATATATATATATATATATATATATATATATATATATATATATATATATATATATATATATATATATATATATATATATATATATATATATATATATATATTGTTTCCAAGATACCCAAGTAGCTTTTTTTGTCTAGAATAATTTATTATACAAGTGTGGTAAACGGCATTTGAATTAACTAGTTTATTTGGCACGAGCGGAGCGAGTGCTTAATAAACGCCTGACTTAAAAATTTTACCAAACGTGTTGCATACTATACTTTTTCTACGGCCGTTAGTTTTTGGGTACATTTTCGCAAAATAACACGAATACATTCACTGGCGTGATCGTCAAAACTGGGAAACGTCAAAATTCAAGGCATGGGAAATATCTCCGAAAACATCCGATTGCGCCCAAATCCGTGCGGTAATATCCCCGAAGTGGCTCAGATCCGTGGGACAAGAAACTCACGTGGTAAAGTGACCCTTCCCGCACGCTGTATATAATTACGGAAGGAAGTAGAAAAAAAAAAGTGAAATTAGTTCATATTATAAACTATTAAAATAAAAATTATTATTAAATAAACAATGGACCTCATAAATTTTAAATAATTAGCCAGAAACTACAATTGCCCATAGTTTTTAACAAAAACTGTCACAACTACAAAAATACCTCATCTTATCAACCTTATCTTTTGGGTATCGAAGAGGTGGATCTCCCGTTTCTTGTCTGCTTTTGCGTTTATATTACGCACTATTATAACACGCATAAAAGTATTGGCTTGTTCCCACCGAGTGCTAGTAAGTCTCACTGAAGAGTGCGAAAAAGTAGGGAGGGAGATTGGCTCATCTCATCTTCGGTGGCTTGATGTAGATTACTGGGCACCGTGAGTTTGAAATATAATTTCTACACCCTCTTTCTAATATAATAAATTAATCAATTATAAAATCCTTATACGAAACCCAGGAAAGCAATGTCACTTAAATTAATTTACAGCTATTGAGTAGATATTTTATGTCATCTGTTAAAAGAAATAACGTTTTACTTGCGGTAAATATCGGATTCATCGTGGTTACTGTTAATCCCGCTTCGTAAATGCCGTACGCCGCCACTGGATACTCGGGAATATTTTGCAACAAAATCGCGACGACATCGCCCCTGTTTAATCTAAGTTTCTTCCTGAGATTTTTGCTTAAGTTTCTCGACATGATTCTGACATCGTCGTAGGTGTATTTTCGCCCAGTAACGCCACATTCCTGCAAAGAAAAATGTCTGTCACTTAGTAATCGCTCAGTAATCGCGATAAAAAAGGTTTTAAAAATAATTTTTAATAATTTATTTAAATTTTTCAGTTTCTGCGCAATTTCAACGGAGAAAAATTCTAGATGGTTACAAAGGTGAGTTACATTTTTTCTTACAACGGCAATCTGTAACTGAAAACAACCACTATACAGATACGTTACAAGAAGGTTCATTAAACAACATTTGGAAACAATCGAAGAGGTTGAACATAGTCATCTTAACAAACGGTAAATGTTTTTTATATATACTGGGATCCCAGTAAGTTAAATGTTGTTTGCTCTATTTCCGCAAGTCGAATATTAAAATGCTTACCGCATTTTAATAAACATTTTTGGAATTCTTGGTTAAAATGAAGGTCACTTTTTTGAAAAATTCCTTTTCGAATTTTGCATAATTTAGGCAGAAATTGAGGTTAAGTGTTTTTTTTTTTCATATTTTATATTTATATTCAATCACTTTGACAGATGCGTCTCAGCTTATACAGGGTTTTGGAGAATTTAATCAACAAAGTCTCAAGATTTTCAAATATATTTATTATTATAAATATATATATTTTTATTCACATGTCAATTCCAGGACAAAAAACAAGCTAAGTTTGTAATTTATCTTATATTTAAATTTTACTTACTTTTGGAGATATACGAGGTTTAAGATAACACCCGTATAAATTTTTGTTGAAGTTAAAGCTGCCCACATTAGGTCACTTGTTGGCAATATTAGATATTTTGTAAATAGCAAAGATACGATACTACTTCTTTTGAAGATATAATCCTCCAGATATACGAATAAAACCTGTTGCTAACAATACAGGGTGTCCATTAATACGTGGAGATTTTGAGAAAAAACGACTCTCTATACTGCACACTTTAACAGATTTAATAAAACTTCAGAATGCATATTTAAAGAAACACTTAATAGTTAATTACCTAGCTTGATTGCCTATTAACACAAATAAATAATTAAAGTTTATAGGTTAACCAAAAAACTATAACTTATTTAAAATACAAATAAAATATATACTAACAAAAAACTTGACAACTATGAACTTTTTAAATAGAAATATGAAAATCAATAAAAACAAACGGAAATGTCAAAGTTTGTTTATACCTTAGTGCGTCCAAAAAAAAAATCGTGATGTCATAGCCAACTACGTTTTTAAATATTTTGATATTTATTTATTGTTTTGGTGCCAGTTGAAACGAGCATTTTAGAGGAACATTTTTAACTAAACTTTATGTACCGAATTAATTTTGTAGTAAAACGATGTTGTTTTGTCAAATATTGATTTTAGAAATATCGTTATGTTTCTGTCTGCGAGAAGATATTCCTATTGTTAAGCACGCTGTTTCGTTAAAGGAAAAGCATCTCGATGCCAAGCAAATGATTTATAATTCTTGACTTAACAGGGGACTTAACGCCAGTACTGCTACAAATAAATTACGTATTTTAAATGAGAATTTCCGCATTGTGTTTGGGTAACAAAAGTTAACCATAGCCACCTAGTTTGAGCAGGTTTGATTAATCAATTTGTTGGTCATCAATGAGAGAAAAAGAAATTCTATCGGACAAAGAAGCTGTCCAATAAAAGGAAAGCACTTTTTACTTTAAATAATTTTTTACCAGTTAAATCTAATGAAGAACTAATTACAGCTTTTTAGTACAGTATGTGAATCGGTATACCGTCTTAAGTGTCGTTTGAAAGCTTCAAAGTTCAGAACAAATAGGAAACGCGTTCTCTACCCTGTTATAAAAACGGGTACATCTGATAATTGGAGAGTGCCTGTTTCGAAGAATGTAGGGATTAAAGTTAAAGTATATTTTTTCCAAAACGGGGAGATTCAATCAAATTGTTTCAATTGTTCAATAGAACTCCAGGTTTTCACTATAACTAAAAAAATGTTTCTGTACACCTCCAGCCTTCGATATATTTAAAATACATTGGATTCCAGACTGGCGTAGTATATTCCAACACTGGCCTGACAAGTCTGTAAAAAGTATTGTTAAAGATTTTTTATTGTTATACCCATTATTTATCCGTAAAATAAATCTAAGACTCTTTAGAGCCTTTTGAACAAGCCGAATCCAATGTAGTTCTCAGGTCTTTTACAGGGTCCGAAAAGTTCAGTTTGTGGTTACCTAAGTAGAGATCACTTTTAATTGGCAATTGTGGTACTTGTGGTAATCAAAACACTGTGACATTTCTCAGGGTTAACAATCAATCTGTCCAGAGAACAATATTGTTCAAAATTTGACAAATCTCTCTGAAGCTATACGTAGTCTGCCGCCGAGCGAGCCGATTTTGCGTAAGGAGTAAGCATGTAAAAAGCACTGGCCAACATCATACAGGAAAATGGCAAACAACCAACCAACAAACCAAGGGTGGTCTTTAACATACAATGCAACAAGATTATTACCTAAAGTTTAGGAATTTGACTTCAGGTAAAATTGTGGTTCGTAATAGAATATAATTTTATACCTACCTGTGTTAAATATTCTTTGGTTTGGTATACTACTTAGTTTAAGTTTATTAGTTATTGTTATTTCGTGTGTAATACAGTCTTCAATCGTGTGCGAATTATGCAAAATATGTGCGAGTCTAGTGTATCTCAGGAGATGCTCCCGCTCAAATGTAGAAAACACTATTCTATTGAGACTAAGGAAGTTATAAACAATATTTATTTGACTCTCATTGAATGTGGTGCCAGCAAGCAAGCATCTTTAGAAGAAACGGCCATATTGACGAAAATTCCAACATCAACTCTATGGAAAATTGTGAATAATCCCATTTTCTCGAGTGTAGATGAAAGTGATGAAGATATAATCCGGCGTAAAATTTACCAGTTATACGAGGAACAAAACGTGCCTATATTAGAAATATTAATTAGGAGGCTTGAAAAAGATGAAACCGGTGTTAAATGTGGCAGAACTACCTTATGGAAGTGTATTCAACACATGGGTTTTAGATTTAAAAAAATTGACAAAAGGCAAGTTTTAATGGATTCTTTTAGAATTCGGAAATTGCGGCTGGGATATCTATAAAAAAATAGAATTTACAGAGAACAACAAAGGCCAATCGTTTACTTGGATAAAACCTGGTTCGTCACTTATGATACCCCGTAAAAGGGTTGGGTTAACTAAACTGATAAGTGTAAGACAAACGCGCCATCAAAAAGAGGTAAAAGAACTATTTTGCATGCTGGCTCTAAAGATGGTTGGATTCCAAATGGACTTTCTCTGTCTGCGAAAAATATTAAAGATTCTTCTCTGGATTACCATGAAGACACCACCGCTGATTTATTTGAAAGTTGGTTTAAAAACAAACTAGTTCCAAACATTCCTGCTAATAGCGTCATTGTAATTGACAATGCAAGTTATCACAGTAGACAGTTGACTAAAACCCCTTCCTCATGTGACAAAAAAGCAACAATCCAAAACTACATGTATAATAACGACATTTATTTTTACGAAGATTATACCAAAAAGCAATTAATTGAGGTTCTACAAAGCTTGAACCTACAAAAGGAATACGTCTGTGAAAATTATGCAAAAAATCTAGGGCATACAGTTTTAAGGCTTTCCACCTTACCACTGTATATTTAATACCATTGAACATGTTTGGCACCAACTGAAATCTGCCAATCGTCGTAACAATGTTTTTTCCCGTGTTAACTCCAATATCCTCAAACTTATAGAAACCGAAGTTTTTAACATCCCTCCACAAAGTTGGGAAAATAATGTTAAATATATAGAAAAAGCAGAACAATCGTATATCCATATTGCAAATATTATTATTTTTATTTTTATATAGAACAAATAATAATTAGAACATGCGATGATAGCGATAGTGATACGGATATATTATGTGAATAATTTTAAGTAATTTAAGTAGGTATAAAAAAAATGTAATTTTATTTTAGATTTAAACATAAATACATACATAAAGAAATAAACATTGTTTAGTATCTTTCCTAACAAAACCCCAAATAATTAAATTCTAAGCAAAGTATGGACCTATTCGGCCATGTTTCATTCTTACACCATGCCCGGGTTTTTCCTTAATTCGTATCAGTTAGTCACTTTCTTATGTCTATGAACAGACTTTACTTTATATTTGTACCCCTTGATCATCGATCGATCATCATTCATCACGAACGTTAAGGACACCATTTTATTGGAAAATTTTCTTACCAATTATCGTTTGAAATGTGCATTTTTGTAATTGTGCATAGCTTACAAATTATGGGCTTTTTTTGTTAACATATTATCATTGAACAGAAATAAATAAGTAAATCAAATTGCGTATATTTTTAGCAAACGTATCAAACAATCAAAGCATCACTAATCGAATATCTCGGGGGATTATGAATAATCTTAAATGGAAATAAATAAGTTGTGTATAATTTTTGTTACACGAATTGGAAAAAAAATGTCGTAGCTAATAAGAACAAAGTAAGCGTCTATCCGTATCAATGAATCACCGATAAATAAACAATTTGCCTACGACCTTTCATATTCCTGTCTCAATTCGTTATTAAATTAAATAATGAATGCTTTGAATTAACAATTAGTTTACCTATTGTTACTGCAAATTTAAATACATAATCGTTACATTATTAATTGGAATGATTGGGAGTAATAAACAAACAATATATTCGCAAATGGTGGAATTGTAGTTAAATTTATCCAAAATAGAACAAGCAAGAAAAGTTTATGATAGATTGTCATAGCAGTTGATTTTGAGTTGAGTTTTAAAATACGATAAGACAAAAATATATAAAAGATCACTCACTTTCAATGTTTAAATATTATTACAATTGGGTACCCTAATACCTTGAAACGTTCAAGCTCACAGACATTTAAAAATATATATAAAACACTCCTACACCATTGCAAATAATCTTATCTAATTTTCGGGCAAAAATTGTTGTTGTTTATGTTGTGTTTGTTCTTGCTC